TTATGGAAAACAATGATATTCAACACTTTGTTTCAAAAAAGTATATTTTATGTGATTAAGGTGCAGGATAGTATTATGTAAATACAGTTGTGTGTACTATATGTATATATTTAATCTTGTTTCTCTAAAGTTTATATATATTTATATATTATATTTACAGTATTGCATTCAGTATCTGCATATATTATATATGCACTTATTTTTGAATTCCGGGGCGGAATTGAATGCCTCATAAATATTCAGCATTCTCCTCTGAGGAGGGGGCAGTTGTTGTAAACCTGATATCAGTGAAATTTTGTTTATAGTGATTATTTCTTTTATACAACAACAACAACATTTATTTCATACACTTGTGACAATTTTGGATAATTAAAGTAGTACCACTTTTAAATACCTTTGATATTATTTGATGTTTTTTATAAAAGCCACTTGTCATGTGTCAATTATGCACAGTATCAATATACCAGGATCATAAAGAAACATCACATGCCTGGGGCTATGTCCAGCCAGTGTCTTTAGCTACTGTGTTAAAGTCTTATCTGTTTGATAAGTGTTAATTACAACTGACCCATTTAAGTATAATTACCACATTGTACATATTCATTTGTGATTCATACTTTATGCCTACATATGTTGTCTGCTAGATTAATAATAGTTACATGTCAGAATAAGTTATCATTCTTATAAATCTATACATATTTTATTCTTTTTACAGTAATGTTAAGAAAAGTCATGATTTTGTATGTATATTGCATTTTATTATTATTGTATTTGGTTAAAATATTACTATAACAACCAGCCATATTTTATGTGATAAAACCTGCAATGGTTAATGTTTAGACTAGAATTTAAAACACTTAATACTTACTTTTCCATCATGAAACTTAAACCATAAGAAAGAGAATTTTATGTAGATTATGATTCCATGCTTTATTTTATTTTATTGAGTTTAAAGACATACAAGTTATTTAAATTCATTTGATTAGAATTAAAGGGGTGGAGCCTAATTGTTATGTAAACAATGCCTTAGGTGTCAATCAGCTGTCAATCTAAAAAAGGGCAAACTCCTAATAGGGCTTATCAGTCAATCAATTTTGCTGTTTTATGTGTTAATATGTTAAACTAATTTTAATTGGCCTGTGCAAATTAGCCAGTTACAATTCTTCTCAAGACCATTATAAAAAGGGGCTTCAACTTGAATAAATGAATAGAACTTCAACTTGAATAAATGAATATGTTGATCTTTATTCTACTGCTGATGATTATGAACTTTATACTGAATTTGGTCATTTTTGGAACTGCTTTAACAGGAATTGGACTTTACATTTACTTTTATGTATGGGATCAACCATGTATTAGTTTTAACTGTGGAGTTGTATGCAGATTTTAAATATAAACTATAAAGGCTGGCATATTTTACAATGAACTGATTTGAAATTGACACTTCTTATAAATATTTACACTTGAATAATAAATAGTGAAAACTGTGCGTGTGTGTAGTCTTAATTGCAACCACTTGTGAGGAAATTTGGTTCCTGGCAAACCATACAACAAGCCAGTGGTGTCGGCTCCTGACAGATATACATAACGCCCAAAACTATAATTTGAAAGAACCCTGTAAGCTTGGCGGAACCGCGAAAAACCCAGGTTTACGACAACAGGAAAAACAGCGAAGGAGTATTGTATGGAATACCGAAAAAAGCTCAAACAAGATGATACACTTTACACAGAATTCAAAAGATGAGATTCCTTAAAGAGTAAACAGTATCGGAAGTCTTCAGATGGAAAATTAGAACGCTATAATGAAAAAGCCAAGATTAGAATGAGAGCTTACAGAGAACGTCTGAAAGAGAAAAGTTCTGTTGGGAAACCTTCCACCTCGCAAAAGATTTCAAAGATGTGAGAGTACTGGTGTGAAACAAAGAGAAAACAGAGAAGCAAAATGTCAGCTGAAGCTAAGGACAGAGAAAAGGAAGAAAGAAGAGAAAGGTACAAGTCTTCAAAAAGGAAACTTTGGTTATATATTAATATATATGAATTCCTCATATGTTTTGGTACCAAATTTCTGTTATCATCAGAATTGTCTTTATCATATTAAACAGGAAAAAACATCAAGACATCCTTGCAGAATAGTTTAAGGATTTCATAACATATTAATCCCCCTAAAATGTAAAACAACTTATCACTAAGATATTTTGAATAACCTTTCACAAGTGTAAACATATAAGAATTATTATGTAACAATTCAAACTGCATTAAAACCAGCAATGGAAATATTATCAACAAATTTTACATTTACTGGTAATTGAAATGCTCAAAGACAACCATAGGAATTTTTTTTCCTTTTGATGTATTCACCCTTGAATTTATATAATGGACAGACTCTACATTAAATATGAATCTGTCCACTGGTATTTTAAGGATAAGAAATCTAGGACGAGAAATCTGTATCAAAGCAGCCAAAGGTAAATGACCTTATCTTGACTGCAAGGACTTGCAAACTGGCCTTCTTCTATACAGTTGATAATTGTAAGCTGATATCACCTCACACGGTACATGTTTAACAGATCAATATATAATTCAAACAAGGAGCACCGCATAGTGCCGAAACCACCAGGTTTTCAACGACCAAGTTTTGATGTCCCAGGAATCAATATGTTCAAGTCAATTGCACTGAAGTTTGTGTACTTGAGTTATTGAATAGAGGCTGAAAATTCTATTGTAAGCAAATGACATTGACCTTGCTCCCAGATACATAAGCTGCCACACAGCAAGTTTGGTGTTAAAAGATCAAAGAAAACTCAAGTTATTACATGAAAACTGAATTTCTTTTTATAACCAAAAGTGACCTTGACCTTGTTCACAGACACCTGGGTAGCAATCCCAAGTTGCATTTTGATATAAGCTACCCACATAACAAAAGTTATTGAGCGGAAACCAAAAGTTGACGCCTGACCAGTTGCCTACTCGCTGTCTTTGGCATTACAATAACCAGTTTTCATTGAAAACCTGGTTAAAAAGTTTTTGTTCTAATCAATGCTTAATAAGTAAAATATTATTCATCATAATATTATTATCAAAATACAAGAAATATATGTAATAAATATATGCAATAATCTGTAAAACAGTACAAGGTACTTGCTTTTCTAACTCAAGAACAAGGTTATAAACACTAAAACATTTATGTCAAACCTTCACTGCAAAAATTCTACAAATAAATTAACACAATAAACTTGCATTTTCAAAAGTTTTCAACAGTACACTTCTAAATCAATTTAAAGTGACATTATGCCCATCCAGATGTAAATAGTAAGTGCTCAAGTTAAATTCCAAATAACTTTACATAGTTAAGTTCAGTTTAATATTTTAGTATGCAAAAGAAGTCAATAATCCATGTGACCCACACAAATTTCTATGAATATCATTCAGAATGTATCAGTAGAGGTCAATTTTTAAAGAGAGTGGGGCAGTCTTTTTATAACTAAGAAAGTTTTTATATTTTATCCTTAACATTATTCATTATCAATCATTGGTCGATCACCATTATGAAAGTCAATCTTTTGAAATATATAATTAATTCAGCTGAAGTTGACACTGAAATAATGAGCAATAAAGTCACTTTAATTTGAGCTGCATCACAACAAAACCAACGTTATACATTTCGCTATCAGTTTCTCTACTTGTTATAGGGTTTGTAAGTGAACAGCATGGATCCTGGTCAGACTGTGCGGATGGTCGCTAATGCACTATGTTGGTTTTGTCGTGAAGCGGCTCATTTGATGCTAATAACTAATAATTATTGACCTGCTAAATAATTTTAAACTAAAATAATTTTTGATATGTAAGAAAGTTTAGTAAATCAGATATTGTAACAAGAGCTGTCCGTAAGACAGCGCGCTCGACTTTTTTAGTGCTTGCCTATAATACAAAACATTGACAGTTAAGGGCCATAATTCAAATAAAATCTTTGACAGAATTACCTTCTCCTGGACATGTTTGGGAATCATGATTGTAAACAAGTATTCCAACTTTCAAATTAATATCTCAAACAGTTCAGTCAAAAAGTGGACTGGTACTAAAAACTTAACCAAGATTCTAAGACGATAAAAGGCCTTAATTTTTAAAACAAATCCTTGACAGAGTTACCTTCTCTTGCGTACAGATGGGGGTAATGATGTGAAATAGCATTAAAAGTTTCAAAGCAATATCTCAAAGGGTTAAGGCAATAAGTGGATTTTACCCATATTCAATGTATTTTCTAAGTCAAAAAGGGGCATAATTCTGTCAAAAACCTTGACAGAGTTATGTCCTCTTGTCTGTTGATGAAGGTCGTGATGGTAAACAAGTATGGTCAGTTTCAAAGCAATACCCCAATGGTTTTGAAATAAAGTGAGGTGGTACAAAAAACTTAACCAAGATTCTAAGTCGATAAAAGGCCTTAATTTTTAAAACAAATCCTTGACAGAGTTACCTTCTCTTGCGTACAGATGGGGGTAATGATGTGAAATAGCATTAAAAGTTTCAAAGCAATATCTCAAAGGGTTAAGGCAATAAGTGATTTACCCATATTCAATGTATTTTCTAAGTCAAAAAAGGGGCATAATTCTGTCAAAAACCTTGACAGAGTTATGTCCTCTTGTCTGTTGATGAAGGTCGTGATGGTAAACAAGTATGGTCAGTTTCAAAGCAATACCTCCAATGGTTTTGAAATAAAGTGAGGGTGGTACAAAAAACTTAACCAAGCTCAATACACTTTCTAAGTCAAAAAAGGGCCATAATTCTGTCAAAAACCTTGACAGAGTTATGTACTCTTGTCTGTAGATGGAGGTTATTGATGGTGAACAAGTATGGTAAGTTTCAAAGCCATACTTGTAATACTTCTGAAATAAAGTGGGGTGGTACGAAAAACTTAACCAAGGTGTGACGCCAACGCTAACGCCGACGCCGACGCCGGGGCGAGTAGGATAGCTCCCCTTTTCATAGAAAAGTCGAGCTAAAAATGAAGTTACAGTCCTATTATTTGATAACTTAGATTCTTGGGTGAAACAATTAACCCTCTATAACTTTGCTGGACTGTTTCAACACATGATAAAATTCAATGTCCAATGCAAATGTTTTTTCACTACATTATATATGCCAATACTTCTTAGTTACCAATATTTTACCTAAAATGTACATGTATGTAAATAACTTACTGTATAACTATAGCTAAGACAAGCAGAAGGAATAAGATTTTACCTTGAAGATGATCTATCATTCGGCGGAATAAACAACTAAAATGTCATATAATTTGCACATATCTAACCTAAATATTAACAACAGTATGTCCAGCAACAGAACTACTTGCTGTATTATTGACAACTTTATCCATTACTTCCTCAAGTCTCATGGCTGCTGACAGGTCACCTGACACTTTCAGTCTACCACTCATGTAGGCTTGTAAAGGTTTAAGCTGGTCTGCAAACATGCTCTGCATGTCCCTAACTGACAGGTCGAGAGTGACATCTGGGTTTTGTGTAGATCCTTCACCTGCATATCCAGCTCCTATATTTTCAGGATGATAGATAAATGAGACATTAATGTCTTGTAGAAAAAAAAAAAGAAACATGAAACAAGAAGTCTATGATAAGAAATCATGACATTTTCATTCTATCACAAAGGACAAATATGAGACCCCTGATAAAAGAGACATTAATGTCTTTAGAGAAAAATAGAAACATAGCACAAGATGTCTATGATAAGAAATCATGGTATGTTCACTCAATAAGGGCTCATTCCCAATAAAAATCTAGAACTATCACTAAATGTGATTAATACCCCCACAAGACTGCTTCTGAAATGAGGATGTTACTAGTAACAGAATACCTTGTAAAAGAATTGAAATACACTGGAGCCGCGATATAGCGCTCTTCGGTATAGCGCTAATCTCAGTAGAACGCTCATATGCCTTGGCTCCCAAAAAAAAAAATGTATTTTTCGCTGATTATAATTTTTTTTTCATGTATATCAATACCGCACCTTATCCACTATAACGCTTGTTCAATGTGTCAGTCGAGTCCAATAAACAGTCATAATTACGTCACTCATGATAAGAAGGTGTGAAGTCATACACAGGTAAGCGTTAATCCGCTCTTTTGTTCATTTTGAACTGTTGATCAGTCAGGTATGACACTGTTAGCTAAAACATGCAAACACCGAAGAGTTAAGTAAATCACCCAAGCGTACAATTAATTTTAAAAAGCAATTACTTTCGATCTATCGGCAAAAAAGTTGTTAAGGATGACTGATTTTTTCACAAGAGACAGCAGGAAAGACGATTAATTTAGTCCCATCCACTAGGTATCAATTTTCATGACCACACATAACACACGTTAACACCGCTGTTTTACTGGAAATTTATAAACAATTGTACATTCGTGGTTTATATTTTTATTTCGTTAATTTCATGTTTATATTAAAGATATTCAGTAATGCTTTACAAAATAATTAATAATAATATATAAAAAAAAGCTTGGACTGATATCCATTGGAAGGTAAGTAAACAATCATTTCCACTAACAAGCGTTATATGTTTCGGCGGTGGGTGGGGTAATGCGATATTTTCGCTTTAATTACACAATGAGCAATAAAAAGTTACTCGTTACAACGCTGTCTTGAGATCATGGACCCAAACATGAGCGCTATATCGCGGCTCCAGTGTATAGAGTTATGGTTGTGGGCAATTAAAGATAGTTGTGGTTCTTGTATGTTGCATTTCCATTCAATGTGGTTGGCCATTGATGAAGTTTAATTGAATTACTCTGTAATAAGTCCAGAAAGACAAAGAAAAGGAACAAAGGGCAATAACTCTATAAATACTGAAGATAGAGTTATAGTTATTGTGCACTGCACTTCCTCTTATTGTGCTTGACCATTTTATGAAGTTGTTTTGAATTCCAACCAGTACGTTTTAAGTTATGCTCCTGACAAGGAAAAGTATCAAAGGGCAGTAACTCTGTATTTTGTCAAAATGGAGGTTATGGCTCTTGTGCACTGCACTTCCTTTTAATGTCCCTTGACAACTGTATGAAGTTGTATTCAATTCCAAACAGTAGTTTTCAAGTTATGCTCTGGACAAGGAAAAGTAACAAAGGGCAATAACTCTGTAATTAGTCAAGATGGAGTTATGGTTCTTGTGCACTGCACTTCCTCTCAATGTGCTTGACCATTGTATGAAGTTATATTGAATTCCAACCATAAGTCTTCAAGTTATGCTCCAGACAAAAAAAGCAATGGAAAAGCAACAAAGGGCAATAACTCTGTAATTACTTTAGATAGAGTTATGGTTCTTGTGCACTGCACTTCCCCTTATGTGTTTGACAATTGTATGAAGTTGTTTTAATTCCAACAGTAGTTTTTAAATTATGCCCGGACAAGGAAAGTAACAAAGGGCAATAACTCTGTAATTAGTCAAGATAGAGTTATGGTTCTTATGCTCAAAGTGCTTGACCATTGTATGTAGTTATATTGAATTCCAACTATTAGACTTCAAGTTATGGTCCGGACAAAAAAAAAAGCAATGAAAAGCAACAAAGGGCAATAACTCTGTAATTACTTTAGATAGAGCTATGTTCTTGTGCACTGCACTTCCCCTTATTGGGTTGACTATTGTATGAAGTTGTGTTTGAATTCCAACCAGTAGTGTTCAAATTATGCCCCGACAAGGAAAAGAAACAAAGGGCAATAACTCTGTAATTAGTCAAGATAGAGTTATGGTTCTTATGCACTGCACTTCCTCTCAATGCTGACCATTGTATGTAGTTATATTGAATTCCAACTATTAGTTTCAAGTTATGGTCCGGACAAAAAAAAAAAGCAATGGAAAAGCAACAAAGGGCAATAACTCTGTAATTACTTTAGATAGAGTTATGATTCTTGTGCACTGCACTTCCCCTTATTGTGTTTGACAATTGTATTAAGTTGTTTTGAATTCCAACCAGTAGTTTTCAAGTTATGCCCCGGACAAGGAAAAGTAACAAAGAGTAATAACTCTGTAATTAGTCAAGATAGAGTTATGGTTCTTGTGACTGCACTTCCTCTCAATGAGCTTGACCATTGTATGTAGTTATATTGAATTCCAACTATTAGTCTTCAAGTTATGCTCCGGACAAGGAAAATGCAAAGGACGTCTGGACCGACCGCCCGACCGACCGACCGACCACCGGGTGACTCCTATATACCCCCCCCCAAACTTCGTTTTTGGGGGTATAATGACCTGTTGTTTTTTTTTGTCACAATTTCTTTAAATATTCCCAACAGCTGCCAATAAAATCAACCAGTTTAACCTTCTGATTTGGGGTTTTTTCTCACAATTTCATAAAATATTCCCAACAGATGCCAACAAAATCAACCTGTTTTTAACTTCTGATGAAAACTGAACTGGTTTTTTTAATTAGTTCTTTTAAGAAATTACAGTTGATTTGATCATACATATAAATAAGACTCGAAAGTCATGAAAAAAACTTTTTGAAATTTCCCGAACTGCTGCAAAATTTTTCCCAATTTAGGTCGAGACTTTCCCCCCAAAGTAACTGGAAAATCCCAGGAAATATACTGTTTCCTTACAGTAACATATCCATATCTCATTTATGTTGCATTTGTCAGTATAATATAGAACTATTCATTATATATGCATGTCTTATCACTGAACTGACAAATAATCTAGAAGTTATTCTTTGCATTTCAAAATATTTTAATGCATATTAATAAATGTCAACTAAGATAGCAGAGTCAAAAGAAAAGCAAAATAACTGAAACAATGTTTCACTAAGCTATGTATTAAGATTTTCAGCCACATATGCAAATTAAATACAATGATTTTTTTACTTTTTTTTTTTTTGCTTCAGACATGTGATTCAGTGTAAAAGTTATATATTTTGAATCATTAACTCATGAATGAGAGAATCTCTCAAATATTAACAATAAAACTTTTGTAAATGCTCCAAGTAACAATATAAAATATAAATCCAATGCACTTACCATGTTTTTAAATCCAAATAAAATGTTCCTCGCCATTGTTACCGGTGAGATTAAACTGGTACACAGCATCAACAGTTCTCACTTAGTGACTCATCAGCAACCTCTAACCAGCTCTACAAGATGTGCGGGTGTTATACCGGGAACCAATGTAACATCTTCCATAGCAATGGCAGCACCTGAAGCTTCTTCAGACTCACTAATTGCTGGTAGCATGGTACTGGTTCCCCTCTGTCCTTGGCCTGAATAATAAATTTTTTTTATTATTTTTTTCCTACATTTTTTAAATAGGTTTAACGCCACACTGACACATTATTATAATTATAGTCTTAGATCTCTTCTGACGGGTTTATATGTATAATAGGACGGTATGAATTTGTATAATGATATTTTGTTCTAGAACTACTACATAACTACATAAGTAAATAAATATTTTATATCATCACTAGATTTATCTAAGTATGAATATGTAAGACAATCATTATAATGAAATGTAAAGAAACATGGCGTTAGTGTTGGTAATATTAATTTTCTCACGTGACTGTAAATTTTATCTTTCTTGTTCTTTCAATTAACTGTGATCTTTATAATAATTATGACATACAGGTGTAGTATGTTTTATTATCTCTCACTACTTTTGTAATGTCAATTTCTCATAGAGCAATGGGAGTTATTCCCATTATATTAATTAATATTATATTTATATTAATTCAAGTGTACTGTGTGACTAAAAATGTTGTCACAGTAAAATTCTGATAAAAACAGGGTCACAATGAAGTATTTATTTGAGGTTATAAATTAAATAATACATAGGTTTGCGAGTAAAAGCAAAAATAAAATCCCTTGTAAAATACTGTTACCCTTGGCTAATATTATTTTCCTTAGGATGATGAAGCCTATGTGTTATTTATATAATAATTTGACCATTATTGGCAAGACAAATGTGCCGAAGACATGTGCCATAAAGCAGAAACATGTAATTTCTCAGTGGTGAGCTCTAAAGGTATGTTTTGATTAATCACTGAAAATAAAAACCTTATATTTTAGACATACCTGATGACAGAAAAGATTGTGCCAGATGCTGAAATACTTGTGAAAGTCCTTCCTGACCGCCAAGTCCTGGTATAGATGCTCCAGTTTTAGCTGCTTGTAACACTTTTATTGGAGATCTAAAATATACACACATATCACAGACTGCACATAATATAACCTTGAATATTTGAATGGTTTAATTTAATAAAAATAAATTTGTTTTAGGATTAATCAAATGCTTCTTTTTTAAAACTAGATGCTCAAAAAAAAACAAAAATGGCTTGACAAAGATGAAAGGATCAAAATATTTATCTGTCTATACTTATTTTCAACATTTTTCTACTTTAAACTTGAGCTACAGGGTAGCTAACATATTAGAAATTAGGGATGGCAATGAATATCAAAACTAAAACTTGAGTAATCGGTAATTTTTCAGATCTAGTACTTGGACGATTTCCAATGATCTTCAAAGTTTAACACCCAATAATTTAACACCTTCTGCATGCTACTGTCATTTTCTATTAAAAATTCAAAGTATTCTTTACCCTTTTTTCGCTGCAGAGGTTATTGTTTTTGATCACCTTTTGCCAAGAAATTACATAATTTATATATTAAAATTATATAGATTATTTATTATTTTTTATTAGATTTAAATTTTAATATGTTCCAAAAATCTTGTTAGTAATAAAATTTTGTCGATGGTATACATAATTTCATTTATATTTTTATTATTATTAATTTATTATTTTATAATTTTATTATATCCTGAGTCATTAGTTACATTTAGAACGCCTTAAAAAGCTGTTCATTAACTATAAATTTTTTTAATTGACAAATTGATATTAATAATATAAACAATATAATTCATGGCAATGTTGTTTATCCTCAAGAAATCATTTTTATGTTTTTTCAAAATTCAAAAATCAGTAAGTTTGTAAAAACAGAAGTAATCCATTGCTGGTTTAAATCGAAAATGACCCCTTTCATTGGGGGGTTTTTTAAAAGATTTTTACTGAAGTAATAAACAGCAAAAGAATTTTTTTAATGAAAACCTGCAATGAAACAACATGGAAAAATTTAAAAAATTATTTTTTATTTCTAAAAAATGCCCCTTATAGGAACCCATACCCCCTAGCAGGGGGTTTAAATGGGTGCACCTTTTTTCTTTTTAAATGATTTCCATTAATTTGATGTCATTGTTTTTGGGTTTCAGGGCTGAAAAATATATCAAAAAGAAAGATGTTTAAAGATATGTATTTTGTTTTAAAAAAGATTTTTTTCTTTTTTTAAATTTTTTATAGAAAAAAACAATAGTCCTTTTAATTTTTCTCATACAAAAAAACCCAATTAACGTTTCAAACAAATATAAGCCGTACACCTTATGCAAGGGAAATTAAGGAAAAATTGCAAAATTTTTGGCAAGACACCAAAGACATTTTTAAAAAGGAGGATAGAAACAGAAAAGGGGGGTCAAGATTTTTTAAAGCTTTTTTGCAAAAATTTTGGCTTTCATAAAAATCGATAGAATTTTTTATAAAAAGATAAAAAAAAACGTAAATTTTTATAAAAAGGGGAAGTATTTTCAGTGAAAAGTCCTGTTTTCCAAGTTTTAAATTTTAGGTTTTAAATACATGCTTGCAGTGCAGTCAGCAATTAAAGTTTGCGAGGTCTTTTTTCCCCATTTTTTAGGTAAAACAAAAAAGGTGTCAAATAGATGGCGTCAAAACACATGACGCATAGAAAAGGAAAAAGCCGTCCCTATGGCAAAAAGCGAAAAATTTGGGGCGGCATAAGCCTCCATGGGGAAAGGGGTTAATATAAATAGGACTGCAAGGGAGGTAACTTTGAAAAACCAATAAACAAATTAATTAAAATTAAATTAACATATTATATTTTTATTATATTACAACGTTTTAATTTTTTTACAATGTAAGGTAATTAAATATAATAAGAGGCCGAATGACTTAAGAGACACAGGTGTTCAATTCCATGCGCTCGTCAAACTGTTGATTTATGATATCATTTTCGTACCTCTGCAAGAATGTTTTGATTGCATTTAACAGGTATATATGAATATGCATGTTTATCTCCAAATTTCTGAACTAATTGGATACACTAATCTTTCTAAATTGCAAAAAAATTAGAAATTTATATTTTTTCTGAGTTATCGAATATCAGTTTTGTTAACCGTGCAAGAATGTTTTGATTGCATTTAACAGGTATTTATGAGTATACATGTTTATCTCCAAATTTCTGAACAAATTGGATGCACTAATCTTTCTAAATTGCAAAAAACTTAGAAATTTATATTTTTTCTGAGTAATCGAATATCAGTTTTGTTAACCGATATTCAGACGTTCAATGAAGTACTCGGTTTACATGTTACTCGTTACCAACCCTATTAGAAACAAGATATGTTTGTAAAACATGTATGCCCCCTATCAGCAGCCAATTAGTCATGTGATAAGGTTATTATGCACGACGTCTGACCCAGTGATCAAACAATTAATAAGGGTTATAAAGTATCTACTGGTCATGACCTTGACCTTTGACCCCTTGACCCAAAACTCAATAGGGGTCATCTGCTGGTCACGACCAATCATCATACAAAGTTTGAAGTTCCTAGGCCTAGGCGTTTTTTAGTAAATTGATCAGAAACCGTTTTTACCTACAAGGTCAATGTGACCTTGACCTTTGACCCCTTGACCCCAAAATCAATAGGGGTCATCTGCTGGTCATGACCAATCACCATGCAAGTTTGAAGTTCTTAGGCCTAAGGGTTCTCTTATTATTGATCGGAAACCGTTTTAAACATACAAGGTCAATGTGACCTTGACCTTTGACCCCCAAAATCAATAGGGGTCATCTGCTGGTCATGACCAATCACCATGCCAAGTTTGAAGTTTCTAGGCCGAAGCGTTCTTTAGTTATTGATCAGAAACCGTTTTTACTTACAAGGTCATTGTGACCTTGACCTTTGACCCCTTGATCCCAAAATCAATAAGAGTAATCTGCTGGTCATGACAAATCACCATACCAAGTTTTGAAGTTCCTAGGCCTAAGCGTTCTTGAGTTATTGATCAAAACCGTTTTTACTTAAAAGGTCAATGTGACCTTGACCTTTGACCCCAAAATCAATAGGGGTCATCTGCTGGTCATGACCAATCACCATGCCAAGTTTGAAGTTTCTAGGCCGAAGCGTTCTTTAGTTTATTGATCAGAAACGTTTTTTACTTACAAGGTCATTGTGACCTTGACCTTTGACCCTTGATCCCAAAATCAATAGGAGTAATCTGCTGGTCATGACAAATCAACGCATACCAAGTTTGAAGTTCCTAGGCCTAAGCGTTCTTGAGTTATTGATCAGAAACCGTTTTTACTTAAAAGGTCAATGTGACCTTGACCTTTGACCCCTTCACTAAAACTCAATAGGGGTCATCTGCTGGTCATGACAATCATCACACAAAGTTTGAAGTTCCTAGGCCTAAGCGTTTTTTAGTTAATTGATCGGAAACCGTTTTTACCTACAAGGTCATGTGACCTTGACCTTTGACCCCTTGACCCCAAAATCAATAGGTCATCTGCTGGTCATGACCAATCACCATACCAAGTTTGAAGTTCCTAGGCATAAGGGTTCTTAAGTTATTGATCCGAAAGCATTTTTACCTACAAGGTCAATGTGACCTTGACCTTTGACCCCTAGACCCAAAATCAATAGGGGTCATCTACTGATCATGACCAATCACCATCTCAAGTTTGAAGTCCCTAGGCCTAAGGGTTCTTTCATTATTGATCGGAAACCGTTTTTACCTACAAGGTCAATGTGACCTTGACCTTTGACCCCTTAACGCCAAAATCAATAGGGGTCATCTGATTGGTCATAACCAATCACCATCCCAAGTCTGAAGTTCCTAGGCCTAAGGGTTCTTTTGTTATTGATCAGAAACCGTTTTTAATTAAAAGGTCAATGTGACCTTGACCTTTGACCCCTTGACCCCAAAATCCATACGGGTCATCTACTGATCATGACCAATCACCATACCAAGTTTAATGTTCCTAAGCCTTAAGGTTCTTTAGGTATTGATCGGAAACCGTTTTTACCTACAAGGTCAATGTGACCTTGACCTTTGACCCCTTGACCCCAAAATCAATAGGGGTCATCTACTGATCATGACCAATCACCATACCAAGTTTGAAGTTCCTAGGCCTTAAGGTTCTTTAGTTATTGATCGGAAACCGTTTTTGCTTTTAAGGTCAATGTGACCTTGACCTTTGACCCCTTGACCCAAAATCAATAGGGGTCATCTACTGGTCATGACTAATCACCATACCAAGTTTGAAGTTCCTAGGCCTTAAGGTTCTTAGTTATTGATCGGAAACTGTTTTTGCTTTCAAGGTCAATGTGACCTTGACCTTTGACCCTTGACTCCAAAATCAATAGGGGTCATCTACTGGGTCATGACCAATCACCATACCAAGTTTGAAGTTCCTAGGCCTTAAGGTTCTTTAGTTATTGATCGGAAACCGTTTTTGCTTTCAAGGTCAATGTGACCTTGACCTTTGACCCCTTGACCCCAAAATCAATAGGGGTCATCTACTGATCATGACCAATCACCATACCAAGTTTGAAGTTCCTAGGCCTTAAGGTTCTTTAGTTATTGATCGGAAACCGTTTTTGCTTTCAAGGTCAATGTGACCTTGACCTTTGACCCCTTGACCCCAAAATCAATAGGGGTCATCTACTGGTCATGACCAATCACCATACCAAGTTTGAAGTTCCTAGGCCTAAGGGTTCTTTAGTTATCACTCGGAAACCATTTGGTCTACGGACCGACGGACCGACGGACCGACGGACCGACAAGTGCAAAGCAATATACCCCCTTTTTTTCAAAATGGGGGCATAATTAAACAAGTTTAAACTATAACTCATGATTTTATAATAATTCATAATTATTAATTCAATCCTGAATTTGTATTTTCTGGATTTCCATCCTTTTTTTCTTCTTTTTTTTTTTTGGGGTGGGGAGGGGGTTTACGTCACATCGACACAGTTTAGGTCATATCGTGACTAGAGCTGTCATCGATATCGACAATATCAATGTATCGTTGATATTATTTTGCCGATCAATAATCGATACACATTTTAGAAAATCGATACTTTTGACTAATAAATTAAATGTCTAGAAATTATAAAATTCACCCAAAATATATACAAAAGCAGTTATTTATATCTAATGTTATGCTTTTGTTATATATAGGAATTATTTCCTAGCAATGGTGACAAAAAAAATATTGTCTGGAATAATCATGCAGTGGACAAGACACTGTACAGAACATGTTTTTGACTGAAATCATTGAAACAGGTATGAAAGTGAATGACAGACAAGTGAGTATAGGATATTATCGATATATCGGTGTATCGTTGATTTTAGTCACTTGATATCGATATATCGTTGATATGCTTTGCACTGAATCAATGACAGCTCTAATCGTGACATTCCAGCTTAACTGGTGGAGAAAGACCTCAGGTGCCCTTTCCATGCATTGTTTCAGGCACGAGCGGGCACCTGAGTAGAACCACAGCTAGCTGGATAGCTTCCTCACATGAAAGAATCCAAAGTCCTTGTCGGGATTCGAACCCACAGCAGTGAGGGGCAAGTGGTTTGAAGTCAACAACCTTAACCACTCGGCCACGGCTGCCCCATGGATTTCCATTCTATTTACTCCAAAAATTGTGTGTGATTTAAAATTTACCTTAGATTTAACACAAAATATCTTTCCCATTATGTAATTTTTCCATTCAGTTATGCATAGCATTAAAAATTACATTTATCAGCACAAAATTCACTCATATCTTCGAATGATGCATATGTGTAATTAATAAATTCTGTTCTGTTAACTGCTTAAGTGAAGTTTTAATAAAGTTAATACCACTTAATCTTTATTCTCAAAAATGGATTGTGGTAGGAATAAATCAAGAGACAGAGATGATAAAGAATTTAAAGGATTCTACTTACAAATCAACTCTGCAGATATTAGCACCCCAGCCATGTGCTGCATCGTTACACTCTGCCTGTGAAAAAGTTAACAGATTTTACATACACTTTTAAAGGTCTTGCATGACATTTCCCAGGCAAGATTTCCTATTTCTTCACATACAACCAATTTCTATCAAGCTATATTTGCTACAAATAAACATAAGGAAATACTAAGGGAAAAAAGTTAACATATATTTAATTCTTTATAAATATTTTTTTACAAAATGTTCAACTTACAACAATTTTTGCCACATTTTCATCTTTTTTATCTTCAATAACTTGTAGATCAAACTTGGTGAGAGTATTCATCAATCGGTTCCTCACAAGACCGCGTAACTGCGAGTTTAAATCCTGCACCGATGTCACAGATTTCATGGCATCAGTAACTTGATAGTACACATCCGCACCAAATTCTATAATTCCTGCATCTGATGTTAGTATCTGAAATAAAAAGACTCATTCATAAATGTTCAGTTAAACTGTACTTTCTTAAGAAAAAAGTTATGAACAACCTAAATCAAAAAATCCATTTATCTTTTTTTTGTTTTAGTTGATAAAAGTTTATTTTAGTTTGTGTTGGAAGCTATAAGCATATTGAAACACTCAAATCTGTTCCTAGGAACAACCGGTCCAGTACTAAGGAGTCAGTGCAAAGTTCCTGGCTCACAGAAACAACAGCTTGCCCAACTTGGTTTTAAACCCAAGCAATCATTAGCCCGACACATTAACCACTAGGCCATGCCGCCACTCTTTCTGTTTTCATTGCCTACATGTAAACCTCACAGACATGCTATTTACATTATTTGAAATTGAAACTAATTGCTAAATATCTTAAATAAACTTGAACAATCTTTGTTTCAATCTCCAAATGAATAAAAGGACTAAAGGGTATAAGTTATAAATTTGAGCCACACCTAATGACAAAACCAACATAATGCGTTTGTGATCAGCATGGATCCAGACCAGCCTGCACATCTGCCCAGTCCGATCAGGATCCATGCTGTTCGCTTACAAGCCCTATTACAAGTAGAGAAACTGACAGCGAACAGCATGGATGCTGATCAGACTGTGCGGATGCGCAGGCTGGCCTGGATCCATGCTGGTTGCAAACCCATTATGTTGGTTTTGTCGTGACGCGGCTCATATTTACCTGTAGAGGAGGAACAGTAAAAGCTTTCATTCTTACATCCACCTTCTTTACATTGTCAATACATGGCATCACAAATGTTATCCCTGCAACACAACATGTCCAAATATATAAGAATCTTACATCGTAACACACCTAAATATCTAGTACATTAAGGGCTACTGTTTACAGCTGTTGTGTAGCTTTGTCAAGAATTCTCTATTATTGCACCTTTTTTTGTGCATTAACATCTGCAGAAGCACAAGGACACATTTAAATTTGAAAGCACGAACCCGTAGTGCAAGGAATTTAATCAGTCTGAGGGCATCTGCAGATGTTACTGCACAAATAATGGTGCATTAGTGCCATTCTTGCATAAAAGTATACATCTTAATCCATTATTCAGTATTTTGTTATCTATTTTTCGTATAAAGAAACCATTTGCCATGCTTTCCACATACTGTTATTTGACGGTAATGTTTTGGTAATGAAACTACCGTGCCATCATTCTTGTAAGCTGTTTTAACTTAGGGCCCTCAGTCATGCAACAATGGCGTGTGCTCACATGATTTTATTAATTTTTGTGTTTTCCTCTTTGTCTATGAATACCTATGTATGCAGCTTTCTATGCTTCACAGTGTAACAAACACAACCCTTCATGTAATTTCTGGACAAAAGAATTCTAGAACATAGGTATACACTCCCTCTGACATCAAAGTACTAAATTTCCTCCACTAGTGTCCATTTAATGACTCATTACTTATAACCTACCTGGTCCTTTAACACCTTGTAGACGCCCTAAACGGAAAACCACTAATCTCTCACAATCTGAGACAATCTGAAAAATGCATAATAATAATATTACCAAATTAATTATCATTCAAGTTGCATATAAGCATCAAAGAAAACATCTATTTTTTCTACTAAAAATATTCTTGAAACATCTATACACTGTATTGGTATCTAATTTTCTTAAAAACGATCTGACAAGGCACCTGTCATTAAAAACTACCCGTTTAAAATGAAATATATATACTTATTACCCTTCCAGATTTTTTCCGCCTTTTTGATTGGATATTGATCACCCGTAAGAAATTGATATAACCGAGCCAGACGGGTAATATACACACTAAATTTCCCCGTTGGGTACCCAACGTTGTAAACGACATGCGCTGAGGTGATGCGTGTACGGTTCGATTTTACGCGGTGTAAATTCCGATTTACAAGCACTTCTTAACTGTCAAATGATAAATTTTTACCAAAGTAGAGTAATGATACAAATTCCCATCAGTATTGAAAACAAAATTAATATGACCTTGTGAAAGCTTGATATTAATTACAAAAAAGTGCTTTCAATAGACTACTCCTTTTCTCTTGTTTACATTCGTTAGGTACGGGAAAAATACGTCATGTATTTATGTGACGTCATGTTGTGATGAAGAGGTACCCTAAAGGGAATCTTATTTCGACGTTTCATTTGAAACAGCAATGATATTTTAAAAAATTGTCTAAACTCGGCAGGGGAAGGGTAATAAAATTATTATTTTGGTTTTGGAGTGATATATGTGGATATATTACCTGCCAAGATAAAATATCACCCTCGCCTAACGGCTCGGGTGATATAAAATCTTAGCAGGTAATATATCCACATATATCACTCCAAAACTAAAATAACATATAATATATTGATAATGATATTGACATATTTCACTTTAATGAGGATGTTCGTGACTGAGTGGTTATGGTTGTTAACTTCAAACCACTTGCCCCTCACTGCTAGGGGGCTGAATCCCACTAGGGCCTTTGGATTCTTTCATGTGAGGCAGCTATCCATCTAGCTTAAAGAATGTTTGTGGTTCTATTTTGTGCATGATAAAAATACAGAGAGGGACATCCGAGGTCTTTCTCACCAGTATTGCTGTAAAGTTGCCATGACCATAGAGTGTTGGTGAAAATAAAACCAACCAAAACAAAATTTACTATGCAACTTCCAAGATGATAATTTGTATTGCTAGCATGCCAAGCTCTGTGATAATAAGGAAACATAACCTTTGTAAACCCAGAGACAGCAAATTCGAACACATTACAATTTCTACAATTGACTTAACATTCATTAATTTCCCTATCAGTTATAAAAGAAAATAAACCTTACTCAAGCTAGGTAGAAAATACAGCTTAAATGGTTACAATCATATGACCATGTTTAAATCTTTAGATTCTTTAAAATTTAATGAGATACCTTTATACTTATCCAAGCAGATATGGGAAATGTTACAACAATGAGTATAAAACAAATGGCTGTTATAAGCAAACTGCAAATTCTGCTCACAAATGACTGTTTTACTGAAATAAAAATCAATATTAAGAATATTAAGAACTTCATTACAATTTGATCTTCAAAGTTCAATGTTATAAAGTCAAAGTTTTATATAAAATAAAATGGCCATCATAATTGGGATTACATACATATTCAATATATATTGAGGAAATTATTAATTTATTTAATTAACATATATATGGAGACCAATGTTTAGTTTAAACAATATTTTATTGATAAACCACACATTTACATAATAAATTACATAAAATAAAATTTACGGATTGAGTAGGAAGCTTGAAAAGCTTTTTTGAAAACTCTCTCCGTCTCTTATGATGCCCATTGTCTAACAAATGCACCTTTTCATGATAAGCAGGATTCTAAGTTTCATGCTGATAACTTTTAAAATGTTTGAATAATGGGCTAAATTCAAGATTTTGCGATACAATGTTGATACAGCAATCATAAAAGCTCCACAATTTCTTAGAATCAGACAAGCTAAAATTTATACACCTACCAACAGTATGACGAAGATGGTCTTCCCTGAGCTGCATGTCACCTCTTGAGTATGTATAGATTGACTTATAATCATTTGTGGAAGTTGTGAACTGGGATGAATAACAATGAGTGGACGAAAAATCAAATGCAACTTGTCCTTGTTCCGGATCCTCTGTTGATAGCCTTGAATATTTTGCTGCCATTCTGTTAGTTATTTTATTTAACTATGCTTGCTTTAAATTTCTGCTATATATACTATCTACAAATTTTTGTCAATGTCTGTTGCATAATGCTTAACAATTCTGTCTTGTTTGTACCATTATATTTTTGTTTATTTTGGGTTTAAAGTACTAAAAAAAAACACGTAATATGTACTAAAAAAAACCAGGTAATATGGTAGATCTCAAAAGGTTGATCTATTTATACTTGTTCTTTGCTTGTAACAATTTTAATTCTCCTGAAATAAAAACAAAATAGTGTAAACAAATTACAAATCATATTTTGAAGCCAAATAAAAACAGAAGCACCTAAGCATATATTGTGTGGCCAAATAAATATCTACTATTTACTAAACAAAAAATTTAAATATAATATATAGCATATTTAAGCCAGTTTATTCATAAAATGATAATGGAAATTTATAGCCTGAAAAATAGTTGTTCATTGTACCTGTAATACCTGTAGGATGATGCTGGGCTCTGATGAAGAGCTCGACTCTTTTTAAGCCCCTATCTTTTGGCAAACTTTCGCCACAACTTTGGGCTTGAGCATCATAAACTTTTAAACAAGCCCATAAATAAGTCTAATAATAATTATATATTGGGCTAAGTTAGACTTGACAGTGTTTTTTTTTTTAATCTGATAATTGGGAGATAAGTTGAAAATGGTTTCCTTTAAAAGAAGATAAAGTAAATCTATATATATAAAGTTTTATATAAGAATACCAGATTTAAATATCTTTAAGCCAATTTTGAAACTGCTTCATTAGTACCAAAATGCACTGGTGCAGAAGACCACAGGAATCAATAAACCACAAAATATCATACATTCAAGATATTGATCTATAGCCCTTATCTCTATATCTTTAAAATATCTTTATTTTGTGAGTTACTGATTCAAAATCAAGTCTCTGTGGAAAGACCTATATCCACATCACATAACTTTTTTAATTGCAGTTTTCATCGCTTTCTAATATTCTATTTTCCCAATCAAATGTACACACATACGTAACTGTAAGTGTGTATGCCTAGATACGCGCCTGGTGATAATTGTTTAATACACTGTAGACATTTGTATTTTCTAGCCAGTTTATGTATGCTAACTGTAACATATATTTTGTCATTTTCCAAAACTAGAAATTTATAGTTATATACTAACTAAAAGCCCTAGTGACCTCGTTTTGAGACATTTTTGCTCTGGGCAAAGCAATGTCATACTGAAATTGCTCAAAAACTCATAGCATGTTCCGCAAGAAAATCTGGCATACCTTAAAAACAATTAAGACAGCTTATATTTACATTAATTTTTACCTATTTATGAACAAAAGTAAAAAATAAATACCGTTCAACAAAATAATTAAACTGTCACATCCAAAATCATGAGTAAATCTTCTTATTCAATTAAATTCCTTATACAGCAGATAAACAAATGGCCGTCACACAGAGCGAGAAATCTGATTGCCTTATTCATACGAGAGTGTGTAAATGAGTTAACAAAATATTTGCCCATGTACCGCCAGCGTGTACAAATTAGGGGTGTGGATCGTCGGATAAGTGACGATCCGATCTGAACCACTATTTTTTGAAACCAATTACTTCCTAGCTCAGCATCATGGTACATGGTCCTTAAGCTAATTGTATTTAGGTAAACTTCATATAATTTATACTCAAATCGTATTTTTCTCTATCTTAAGAGTGAGAGAAGCAGTGGATGTATATAAAAAAAAAATTAGATCACGATCCATGATCTCTGGGCGTACGAATATCCAAACTCGATTTTTCACTTCTATTCGTGATTATCCGAGTACTCGGATACTCGCCCAAGTACAAATATATTTTTTCCATTCAAAAATTTGGAACCAATCTACTAAGATGCATACCACCAACTGGAAGAACTTGTATTTTTCAGCAAATCAGAAATATATCAAACTTAAACTTTTTTGAAGGAAAATGATTAAGAACATGGTGCCATGATAATAACTTTAGTGGGGTGAATCATCAGATCATTACTGAACTGGGGCGAACCATTTTCAGAAGAGCTGGCTCTAAGGGCCTGCTTGCAAAGCGAGCTTTATGGTAATGCAAGTACCTGCTAGATAGTGATGGTTTTGAAAACTTTCGTTGGTAGTCAGACTATTCTCTCCCTTACCAGTTCCTCTCCTGATATTTCCTCCCTGACGATTCTCTCCCTTTTTTGGGGGAGAACCGTCTGCATATTTGCAAATAAGCAGACAGTTCCTCCCCATTTTTATTTTTATTAATGCATTATTATTGAAGTATTTAGATGTTAAATAAAGGGTAAGTTTAATATATATTGATTTGAATTAGAAAAAAAATATTTTATTGAAGTGTTAAGATGTTAAATGAATGGGTATGTTCATTACTAATTGATATAAATTAGAGGGAAAAAACATTGTATTGAAGTATTTAGATGTTAGACAGAAACAGGGAAAGAAACATATTATTTAAATGTTTAATAAATTGGTAAATTTATTATTAATTGATATAAATTAGAAAAGAAAATATTTTAGCATATTAATTAATTATTCTGTTGTTTTTTAATTAGATCTAATGTATAATTAGATCTGATGTATATGTTTAGTCATTGAAAATAGTGAATAATGAATAATTCATTAATAATAAATTTCATACTTTTGTATAATGAAGAAAGGTGTTCGTTTAGTTTGCTGTTAGAAATAATTGAGGTGTTTATTAATTCATTACTCAGGAGGAGGAACTGGTAAGGGAGAGAATAGTCTGTCATTCCTTTCGTCTGAGGTACTGAACCAGCACATCGCAACTTTTCGAATTACAAAATAAAGGTAAAAACCGAGGTATTCTGATTGAAAACGGAAGCCTAGACTGGTGTCCTGCGCACATACATGTGAACCATAATTGGACAGGAATAAATGGAAGCAGTGTATAAAATACCGAATGACAATTTTAAACATAAAATGTAAAATAAAAATGAATGATTATTTTATACTATTTCGAGTTAAAATATATCAAGCTAGCTTTGAGGCTTTGCCTTTTTCATATTATTGATAACCTAACCACAGACACTTGGAGTATGGACCCCGCCCTTCTCCGCCCCTGAATATTAAAAACTAAAAGTATTGTTTATTACAAGAATAAGTTTTAAATTTGTGCTTATATTAGTATGAGACGGTTAAGTGTCTAACACATGAACAAGTTTGAATAGAATTTCATAACGTTTTAAAAAAGTCAATTTTTTTCCAACGCTTCAATTTCCTGAAGATACCAAGCTTCGAAATGTAAACACAACTGACCTACATATATTTCAGGTATTCATGTTATCGCATGCCATTTATTTCTGGTGTAAATCAGTCGATGCATATATTCCTTTAATAAATAACTGCATGTTATTATCAGATCGTACCTTTCTTCCAAGCTTTGCACATTTAATGATATTTTCATAACTGAGTCTCATGCTTCTTTACGAATTCATGACCACTGGAATGTTTCCCGTAAATTACAGCGGGAAAATCGCTGGGAAAAAGAAATTCAATCGCAACTACTTGGCCCTTTCCGTCAGTCTTATTGATTTGGTTTCTGTACTGATTAGGGGAAGTAACCGCTGCGGGGTTTTGGTTCTCGGCATGAAAATGAAAGCGCAAAACAGTGCCGAAACTCATTCCAGTCATCTCACATCAAAGGAAAGCGTACGTTGTTATCTTCATGAAATTGTGATATTCTAGGGACTTTTTTAAACGTGGTTAAAATAGCGGAAAACATGTTTTATGTTCAAGACATGTGACCAGGTCGTAATAATATGCAAAAATATTTTGACGTACGGTTTGCACGATAAAAATAGGCATGGTGTATACAAGTGCGGATCAAGAAGGGGAGCCACGCACATAACCCCAAGCGTCTGTGAACCTAACAGTTAAAATGATCAAAATTATTTATTATTATTTAAACTGTTCTTCAGGTAAGATACTTTACAGAGAATATTTTATTTCACAAAATTAAATTAAACAACCATTTAATCTTATCATATTAATTTTAATAACATTCAGGACGTTTTAATTGGTTGTTTTTAAAGTGGGGCGAATCGTCACTTTAGCAGTTTGTTTAGTTGGGCGAGTCGTCAGTAGGACGAATCGTTATCAATAGAATTTCGAAATAACGTTAGAATATTGCTACAGTATTGTTATAAAACAAACCAAAAATCAAAAGTTAATTTTACACATCATATTCCGACAAAACAAACTTACAGTGTTCCAAATGGCGGGATATTAATATCAATTGATGATAATCGACGTAAATGATCAGATAATCTGGTTCCCTGTCCTATTATGGTTCCCATTCATTTTAGAAGTGCGCAGGGGACCAGTCTAATTGATCACAATCGGAATGTCTTCGGCTATTATCGTAAATGTCCTTATCCAAAGACTGACGGAAAGGGCCGAAAAATTGCGATTGTTGCAGTCGTAACAATTCGGCAATCTCCGACAAGTTGTACTTTAAATGTCATTTAATTAAAACAACTTCTCTTAGTAATACTCTAAGTCTTGTTATTTATTTAAATTTTGTGCATTAAATTCTCTGATCTTCATAAACAATATCATATTTGAAAAAATGCCTAAAGTTGTAAATTATTGATTTTAATAAAAAAAATTCTATAATATCAAAGTCATTTTTTTTTTGTATCAAACTCTTGGAATATAAACATAATTATAATATCTGGGGAACCGTGTCTTAGATTTTTTCTATCTTTTCTCAAAAAAAAAATATTAAGTGACGTCAAACAATTTATGCGACTTTTTCACCATACATATTACGTAATTAAAGATAATTATGTCGCTGATTGAGCAAACAAAAATCCCTGACACGGTTCCCTCCGTAATTGAATTCCCTTTCATGTGCTTTAAACCGCATGTAAATTGCTTGTTTATTAAAAAAAGGTATGTCGATTCAAAGTTAGTCCGACCACGGATTTATATGACACATAAATCCGTGGTCCAACGCACATGAAACGAAGCATTTCGTAAAATCTCTGTTTTTTTTGAGTCCGCTTAGTGACATTTTCTTCATTCACATTGCATGTGTTGGACACACCAGAACCCACGACGGAAAGAATATCTCGATGAAGACTGCATAGAAATCCAAAACAACAAGGGGTAATATAGAGGAGAGTCAGGAGGGTAGAATCACATTTCGATTTTCTTAAAAAAAGGATTGAATTTTATATAAATGTTTAAAAAGATGAAAACTTACCCTGCGATCGGCCTATTTTTCCAGTCACATCTGGTGTTATGCTTCACATCTGGTGCAGCGGAAATTCACATATCATTTTTACTGATGCTCATTTTTGAGATTCATATGGGGTTCCACCCCCGTGCCTACGTTTTCCCTTAAATTATTGTATAACACGCAAATATCACACCTAAGGGGGTGACACAATGCGGTAACACATACTCTAACAACTTTTATGACAAAGTGACATCTGACCAATTAAAAAGCAGCTGATAAATATAATTTTATAGCAGATTTTCTTCAAATTGAGGCACTCAGAAAATGGAACGCATTTAACGTTCGTACTCACCTGAAAATATATTTTCATATCTTTTCCATTGATCCATAAAGAATAAATCATCTGGAGATGATCGTAAAACTATTTTAGAAATTGGTGCATATCGAATCAAAGTCAACTTCTGCATCTTTCTTTATCAAAATATTACTTTCAGTGAGAGTATAGTTCATCTTAAGTATAAGACCGTTTTTTTTTTCTTTTTTTCCAAGTTATTTTTACACTACAATTTTAATTTTGTATACCAGTACTCGCCTGTTCTTCGCAAGAATACGGTTTGCGCTTCCATTCTAGGTGTTATTTGAATATTCTCGTGATTTTCGTGAGGTTTCATTATGTTATAAGGTCAGGTAATGTACTTGTTGAGTTGAGTCACAGAAAATGAAAACAGAACTTGTCGAGTAGGGAAAGGTAAGATCATTATGTTGATATATGAATACATAACATATAAATAATATAAATAATATTGAGGAAGATAAAAAAATGTTTTCTAATCATAAAAACGGAACACTTTATCTTAATATATATTAAATTTCACGGTGAATAGATGATCAGCTAAATCTTATATAATTAAAATATACGATTTTTTTCAAAGGAAAGTAAAAGACGGGGTTCTATGAATAGATATTAGTAATACATGTAGTTACACCGTCATGTAAGTTGAGTTTTGTTGATGGCTGATTTTAATTGTTCATAGAATTTCATCCATGTTTGGAAGTATTTTCTTTCGGTGTATTCTTAATTAGCATCATCCGTTATTCATATGTTTGATAAGACCGCATGTAAGCATGCGATCTAGAATGGAAGCGCAAATCGTATTCTTGCGAAGAACAGGCGAGTACTGGTATACAAAATTATTTTATACAAATGCAGGATTGTGCAAAATCAGACATAGTTGTGGAAAGAAATGCCGAAAACTAGTATCTTATTAATCTATATAGTTCGGCAAATGTGTTAGGTATACCGAAAAGCAAACAATAAAGAAGGGCCAAATGTGCGTTGTTGTACTCAATATACAATATAATATATAATATCGAAACACAAACTTCAACGCGAAAACAGTAGCCAGTTCGTTTTTCTCTCAAATAATCTGGAATATATGTTATTCGGGTCCTTACAGCCGTACGCGCTAATTTATTTCTATTAATCTATAAAATATATATCGACCCTTTATCCTATTCAAAGTGGTCATTACAACCCATCCCACAATTCAGCGTTATTTTACGGTGAATATTGTTGTGTACTGTAATGCACGAGTTTTTCGACTTCACATATTTTCTATTGTATAGAGAACAATAGAACAAAAACAGGTCGGTATATATTTGCAGACCTGTTAAGCGGTCGGTAAGTGATTTACTAGACCGCTTTTAACAAAAGAGCCGGTAGGTAATTCATGGATACATGAACTTAGGAACTACCGATTTCCCTCACTGATGCAAGAATAGGGGCGGCGCGTCATCGATAATTGACAGGTTACGCGCATAGCGGATAAAAATGGTATAGGTATCATTTTAAAACGTTTAAAAACATAGTTTCTTTACCATCTGCTTCCAAATTAAATCACGAATGTATTCAGAAAAGGTTAATAAATCTACTTAGCAAAAAAACTCATTTTAGGTATTTTTAGTGATAATTGACTCCGGTGTCACCATAACACCCTGCTGTTTCAATTTAAATTCCTGGTGAAAAAGTGGTCTAATGATACATTAGCTTGCATAGTTATTGTATTGTAAAAAGGTCTATACATAGTTAATCACGTACAATTCTTCTCGTACGTGTATGTCGTAGGGAAGACCACATAAATTATACAGGGCATCGGCAGAAGATACAAAGACTTGGTTTGAAGGGACGTTGTAACGTTGTAAACTGACCCCCATAAAATAATGACCCCGGTCAATATTTTATATAAAATAATGATAATCGTATATAATAATATTACGACTCCCCTACACGAAGAAAAATGACCCTCGCATAGAATAGTGACCCCATGTAGAATAATGACCCCCCGAACCCAAACTAAAGCCCTTACTGGACTCTTACAAAGAAACGCTATAAATATAATTATCTCAGATGAGAAATATGGTAATGTCACTTGTCCGTGCGTTTGTCCATGCGACCGTGCAACGATTTGAGCGAATCTTGTTTCAAACTACTATATATAATCGAAGTCCAGCATATCAGTCTGCATTTTCTTCAAATGACAACGACTATATAGGGATATGTCATTGTTCTTATTAGCTCGACTATACGAAGTATATGGAGAGCTGTCCTACTCGCCCCGACGTCGGCGTCCGCGTCCTTATTTTTGGTGCAGTAAAATATTTTTCACTTTAACTTTTTCATTTCTTATATTTAAGGTATCAACTTAAAACTTCAAATATATGTTCCTTATCATGAATCACATATTATGTGACAATATTCATAACTCTAGTACCACTATTTTCAGATTTATCTCCCCTTGAACATTGAATTTCCTTAAAAATATTATTTTTTACTGTTACTTCTTGAGTTTTGAAGGGGTCAACTTCATACTTGAAATATTTATTCCTTATCATTAACCACATCTTAACTCATAACTCATAGGTTCATAACTCTAGCACTAATATTTTCAGATTTATTTCCCCTTGAACTTAGAATTTTCCTTAAAATTTATTATTTTTTACTGTTACTTCTTTATTAATTAAGGAATCAATTTCATACTTCAAATATATGTTCCTTATCATTAACCACATCTTAAGTATCAAGGTTCATAACTTTAGCACCAATATTTTAAGAATTATCTCCCCATGAACTTAGATTTTTTTTACATGAAAAATGTTATTTTTTACTATAACTTCTTTTGTTTTAAAGGTTTCTACTTCAAACTTCAAATTCATATTCCTTAACATCAACCACATCTGATGTGACAAGGGTCATAACTCTTGAAGCAATATTTTCATATTTATCTCCCCTTTAAACTTAAAATTTTCTTTAAGAAATATTGTAACGTCTTTATTTTTAAGGCATAAAATTCTACCTCAAACTTCAAATATATATTTCTTACCATTACCCGCATGTTGTTTGACAAGGTACATAACTCTAGCGTGACTATTTCCAGAAATATCCCCCCTTGAACTTAGAATTTATATTAACTTATGTTATTTTTGTATTTTCTGATCTGATCGCAGATCAGTAAAACCAATGCTGACATTCAATCTCTGACACAGATGTTTCACGTCAAACCTAACAACATGTAGTTCTCAAAACAGCTTAAAACTAGCGATGTAAAAGAAAGAAATATTTTTATTTTGTTACAAGTATCAAACAAATTACAACGCATTCAAAGTTTAAAAGTAGCGTTGGAATTGTCAATAAATGCACGCGGATGTCATGCAATGAAAATGCTATTTTTAGCGATGTCGATTACCGAATACCTCAGAGCGTATTACACAAATAAATCTGACTGTCGAGTAGTGGAATATATACATGTCGGACTGTTTTGGCGAGAAGATTTTCGCTAAATTATTTACATCAATGTTAAACAACAGGTATATCGTAAACAAGATACCTCGAAATTAATAAAGATTACAAACCCTGCATGGATATTCTAAAATAATTATTAGAATTATTTGATTTTATTCAGGCTGTTCCTGTTAATATTCTCCGTGGTGCAGTGGTAACGCGCTCGTTTAGGGTGTGAGAGGTCTGGGGTTCAAATACCAGTCGAGGCAAATTTTTTAAGTGCCTTTTTTAAGGAAGTAGCCACGATATGCAAGGATAAAAAGGATAAAGTGTGGCTGTCTTACAAAACGAACATAAATGATTTTTTATGCAACTCTAGTCATGCAAAACTCCGTATGTATCAAACTGTTATAGTAAAAAATCCAAACGTAGTAGCTGCATCTCGGTGCCCTGCAAGGTGAATTATAGTATATAAAAGAAACTTATAACAGGAAAATACATACAGATATACAGTACGATTAAGATTGCAAAGATCAGAAAATACCACAGAGCTTGCAGCCCTTTGATTACTATAACTTCTTGTCATGTGGATATAAGAGTTATAAAACGCAAGCTCCTGTATTCCCAGAATTATCTCCATTTCAATTTTGAACTTAAAATTCAATTCTTAATTTATTTTTTATCATTGTCTTTGTTATTATAAATTGTATCTACTCTAGACTTAAGATAATTAATTGTTCTTTGTCATAACTCACATAAATGTGTTCTCACTGAAAATGAACACACTTTCAGATAAGAGAATTTGCATTAAGCATTAAATACTTTAAATACATTTTCATTACATGTTCGCTTATTCTTAACGGGGTTTTCTGAGTTTTATCTTTGTTTTGTCAGCTGTTATCGCGACAGTAGCAGCAGCAGAACAGGCATAACAACAGCAACAACACGTATATGCAATTGTAATATGACGAAGTTAGGTGGGGGTCAGTATTTTATAGATAAAATAGGGGGTCATTATTTTATAAATAAGGGGGGTCACTATTTTATATAGAGTAATGACCGGGGACCATTATTCTTTGGGGGTCAATTAACAACGTTACAACGGAGCTAAAGATCGGAACTTGTGCTGTGGACCAGCTGCCGATGTCCTGTCTAAAGCCGAGGGGAGTGGCCCTACAAAGTAAACGCTTGGGTCGACGAGGATGGTGTGCTGGAAATTGCATGGAGGTAAATTATGACCACTTTGTGCTTCAAACTTAACTCTTTAAGGGCATGACTGGTGACGTGTCCGGGGTCCGTACTCAACAGCGAAAGCTGCATTTTGTGCCCTTACGGGCGGATGGACCCTCATTAAGCATACACTACATACATACATCACGTACAATTATTAAAATCGTAATGTAAGTAACTTTTACATATACCGATCAATGTTCATTGATTTTGTGAAGTGACAAATAGTGTTACGTGCATTACAAAAAAATAATTAACAGGTGTTTCGAGGAACCGGATAAAATGTGTGTTATGTCACTTCCCAACAACCCATTTTAACTTCGCAAGATTTTGAAGAAAAAAAATATTTAATTATCTAAAATATATTTATGTGACTTAAAAATGTTCTAATTGCATCACAGTCAAAAGGGACAAATGATAAAATCAGGTAAACTAAACACTAAAAATGCACTATGACAATGCACTATGACCTGTTCTGACCTCTTTCAGAATCATACTCGATTTCATGTTATAAAATTTCTGAAGTTTTTGTATGAACAATTTCAACAACAATTAAGTTGACTTTTCATTTGCTAATAGATCATTTCCAAAATGATCTCAGTGTCAGGTCCGTGATCTAATAATCTTTTTCATGCCTTTTTATGACATTCTTCGCCACAAAGCTATATATGGGCATCTTTTCTATTTTTGTAAAAAGCTATTTTATATAATTTTAGTATACATATTTCTCTACGTAAAACTTGTAAGGAAGCTGTCTGCAAAATTAATAAAAAATGCTTGTGCATTATTTAAAACAAACAAATTTCTATGTGGACAGATTCCAACCAAAGTGATTTCTTTTTGGTTATTATGTTTCTTAAGTAAGCTTGTCTGTCTTTGATTGCTTGAACTGGAACATTACTTATAAATTGTAAAATAATATTATTTATATACAGGTGTGTATATTTCTTATGAAATATTATCATTTTTTAATATGAAAAGCTATATTGCATTTGAGAAAATAAATGATCAAGCTATAACAGACATTAATTTAAATATAAGAACAATTTGCAAAATGTCATGAGATAAAGAAACTCTTTGTTTTTTCCTCGTTTTTATTACCTCTTCGTTACCAGTGAACTAAAGAATAGCTTCTTCCAGTTTGTTTGAATGTTCTTGTGCTGTTCTCTTGCATTTGTCAAATATATTCTGGAAATCAGCAAATTTTCCTCAGATTAAACATTAAATTATTTATTCATTTGACAAACTATAAACAAGCACCATTTTAGTTTGTTGATTGTTTAGAAGTAAGTTAGCCAGAAACAGCTTGATAGTTTGTGTACTCCTGACAATATTATGTTTTATCAACGCATTAAATTAATGTCATGTGTTGTTTCAAGTTATTATTTGGTGTATCTTATGACTGATATATTCACCTTGCTGTTATTAGTTAAACATCTAAATTTTCTCTCTTGAAATAACATTGAAAGATGTAACACTTTACGCTTATCACAACGTGTCTACAATTACCACCTTTTCAGTTTTGCTTTCATTGCTCTTGATACATTTTACAAATTTAATTAGACCTTTAATCTTCACTTGAAACTACACATTATTAATGATAACAAATATATATTATATACCTAAAGGCATTTAAGGAATACACGATTTCGAAAAACGAATGTTAGATAAATGTTAGCACTTTGTTTAATGAAGTTAGGGTAAACCGTACACAAAATTTGTAACTTTGGCATGTACCAAACAGATTACTTTTCACATATGTCTATCCATTATGTACAAAGTTTTTTATCAGATGTTTTCTTATTTGTTAAGATATTTGAATAAAACATTAAATTACAGTTTTATTACCAATTTTTGAAGCAAGGCGGTTAAACAGTTTACAGACGTTTTATTTATATTGACCGCTTGCTGGATTATAAAACCAGCTGTTTGGCAAAGCAATAAGTGTATTGTTAAATTTGATAATGGTTTGACTGGTATTTTTGGCTTTGAGCAATATCGATTCAATATAAATCACATTTAAATTCAAATGACTTGGCTTGAATGTCGTTCAAAACCCTGACAATTACTTCCTGGTCCTAAACCAGACAATAAAAATAGTTAAGACATAACACATATTAATAGTTATCAAGGCAAGTTAACAGAAGGATTGAACGTGTACATATTTGTTCATTATAAGTGACTTAATAGAAATATTATCGTTATGTAATACAATTATACGATGAAATATGTATTAAACAGTGTAAACAGAAATTGTAAGAAAGATCTGTGATAATATGGGAAGATTGTTAACACGAATTGTAAAAAAATGGGAAGTAAATTAGGTAAACCGTCTAATAAAGCTGTTAATGACATAGAAACAAGACCTAATGATGACCAGCAACCAAGACCGCGTATATCCGGTATGAAACATGGCATTGCTACAGGTGCGGGAACATCAAATATTAAACAGCATGTTCTTTTTCGTGAAGACGACGATAACAACGAATACATGTATAACCATTTGTTGGTAAGTGGTAAATAAGCCATTTTGTCATTTTATAATGTCTATTTACGAAGTCAAGATTTTATCATGATTTGTGTCGTTTTCCAGTTCCGCAATTTATTGTTTACTGATATCCGCTATTTTGTATTAAATTTTATACTTTATGCACTTTTTTTTAGCATCAACAACAGAGACCAGGACTTTTACCACCCATTGACAATGAGCAATCACACATCGATCAGTACGTTCATTTTAAAAATTCGTTCTTGTTTTTGTTCGCAAATTTTTGCCTTATGTTTGGTTGAATATATTGCGGATTTTTATCAGAGTATAGAAATATACACACGTATCATGTTATGGTAAGTTTTTTGTTGAACGCCTGGTTTTTAATGATGTAGTATAAATGCCTTAAAACAACAAGGAATAGGCTTGATCATGAGAGACACCTTTTCAAGTTATTGAATAGAAAAATCAATTAAATTATGTCCTAAATAATCCATTTAATCATTTTTAAACTGTATAAAACTTATACGTGTAGTTCATTGGTATATAAAGTAACTAGATGACGTGCATTGCATGTTCAATATGACTAGATATTGGTCTATATACATTTGATTTAACAAACCTTTTAAAACTATAAGTCTTTTGTTTTATTTCAAACGTTATAACAAAAACAAAACATATCTTTATTTACTTAAATATATATATATATCACATACTGACTAGCAAACGTAACGCAAACAAATGTAAACAAAATGAACAGAAACTCCGTATAAAAGAACTAGAAGAAGAGGTCAGTTCACTACGGTTAGTGCGTCAGTTTGCACTTATCAAAACGAGCCTGCAACATATTAATTGTTGTCACTTTGGGCGTTCTTTAGGAATTCTTTATTTTCTCAATTTCTTTCTCCTATAGGTATTGATTATGTGATCTAAATCAATACATTTATGATCCTGATCTTTAAGTATTTTCTATACATGAACGTGCATTTCGTTCCAGTGTTTTTGTCTCTTTTAATATTTAAATAATATTCATATTAATACACAGTTTACGTTACACCAGAATATTTCGGTTTAAGTTAATTGCATATTTTTTGGTGCATTGATTTTAATATAAAAACATAATATTGATTATTGAACTTCCAACATGTATGTTTTCCATTTGTAGTAAATCGAGTTTTTAAACTGAACCCTAGAGGTTGGCACCTCAAATTGCCATGCCGTGAATTAATATTTCTTCAACTTGATTTTTACAAAGGTTTGAAATAACAGGACTGGAAGTGCAACACAATGACGAACCAAGAGGCCGATAACTTAAAAAACTGAGATAAATATGCTAACTATACATATAGGTTTATTACAAGTCTTATTTTTTCACTATCGGGATTGCAAAATGGCAAGAAAAGATTTTAAAAAATTACCATTTATGATTTCCTGTAACAAAAATTGAAAAAAAAAACGCAAACAGAAAAATATCAGTTCTCTAGCACAATTTTAATTTATGTAATTTACCTGAAAATTTAGTTTTGTAAGGTGTTGAAATAAAATGTTTTGTCAGAAACACCAGCAGCTTTGCTTCAACATTTTGTTGACTACCGTACCTTTGAAATAATGTCCTTTCAGATTGAGCTAGGTGGCGTCGGACAAGCTGACAAACAATAACCCAAATATAGCAGACCTTAGTGATGAGAATAGAGCTTTTAGAGTAGGAGAAAAGTTGTCCGAGCTGTATAGCAATGAGTGGAGTGATGCTTACGAGGAACTAACTGAAGGTGGCCGTAGAAGTGATATACAAGCTATAAACATTCTGCTTGAGATACTGAAGGTAATTGTGGTGCATACATTTTTGAAATTATGTCTTTTTTGTTGTATACATTTGACACAAATACAAACAATGCAGAAAAGCTCTCTTAACAGTTGAAGCATATAGTTAAAAGAGGGTTATAAACAAAGCATCTAACATCTGTTCGACTTTTTTATGTTTCATCATTGCATTTTTGTGGTCTAATGAGATAATTCATTGATTGATTCTTAACACTGTGCTCAAGCCACATGATGGGTGAGAGGTGATGCACTTTACAAAATCTCTCATAAACATACTTATTCAAACCTTGTCAGATTATCTTTAACCGTATTACAGTAAACTTCACATATAGCGAACACGGTTATAGCGAACTTCCGGTTACAAGGAACAAAATATTTTGGCCCGAATTTTGCCCTTCTTTACACTCTAAATCTCAGTGTTTTGATTCCAAACACATGTGAAAACACCTATCTGTAACAGTTTTAAAACATGTTGCGGTGTTTTCACAAAACACTGATGTTTCACACTAAAACACGGGTGTTTTCCTAGAAAACGTGTTTAGGTGTTTTGTCTGAAAACACCTAACACGTGTTTTGGGACTGTAACAGATTTAAAACACGTTTACACGTTTTAATAGTTTCCATGTTTTATTTCAAAACACGATCAACCAAAAAATGTGAACAATGACACATAAACATATTATACACATTTTAATAACATTTTGAAATTTAGGTTAAATACTAATTGTTCTTCATTACTGCACATAAATGTTAAATAGATCAAGACCCCCTACCATTATCATAATAGTATTTTTGGTATACTAAAATTAATATTGCATGCCTGACAGAGTGACAGTAAAGTTGACAACTTTTGGAAAAACACTGTCAACTGAGGTAGCATTTCCTACAGGTGGCAATTTTACTGTCACCTTGTCAGCCATGTTACAATCCAATGCAATATACCCGAAATTCTGGTGTTACCAATCACAAAATTAAAAAGAGCATTTTCATATTGAACCTTCAAACAATTAAAAACAAGGCAGTCTGAAGGACAGCTATATCCCCTTCGCAGTGGACAGGAATCTGTACTTCTTGATCTTTAACAAACCATGTCTTTTAGAGAAAAACCTGGCTGTTGTGCCATGGTCGTGATTATTTATGCTAAAATATTTAAAATCTTCCATGTCAAAAAGTTATAAACAAGAATATTTGACCTCTACCTGTGACCTTTGGGGCAGTGATCTGATTGTTGCGCTCTGCACATCCTCTTATAATGGTGATAATTTGTGCCAAGTTATTTTAAAAACTTTTCAGCAGATTAAGTTATTTAGGGGACACAAAAAGTGGACCATTAACATTTGACTTTTAAGTGTGACCTTGACCTTAGAGGTAGTGACCTTGTTGTTGTGCTTTGCTCATCATGATATAAAGGTGATCATTTGTGCCAAGTTATGTTAAAAACATTTCATCAGTTGAAGTTATGGAGCGGACACAAAAGGTAGACTTTTTAACCTATGACCTTAAGTTGTGACCTTAGGGGTAGCGACCCGATTATTGCGCTCTGCACATCGTCTCATACTGACCATTTGTGCCAAGTTATTTCAAAAAATTTTCAGTTTAAAAAAGTTATGGAGTGGACATGGAAGACAGACTGAGGCCATTCCTGTAATCCCCTCCCCTCTATGCAGAAGGGGATTAAAAATGAATGTATAAAATAAATACATAAAACAGATTACAGTTATATAATATTTAGGCAAACAATTAAGTAAATAAATAGATAGACAATTAAACAACAAAAACAAATTGATATATGGATATCAGTAGAATTTCAGGTAAAATGAAAATATATATAAAATGGATTTAACTTCTCTCTACAAAAATAAAACCTTTTTACACAGTAAAGCCTACCTCCCTGTAAAATGTAAAAAACCCGGTTTTGGCACATATATGTATCATATTTGGGTTGGAAAAAAAACAAACAGTATTTTCAGACAGTGTCAAAAATCGGTCATTCAATGTTGACTGTCCCCAATAATGTGTCCGAGTACTGTCAGACAAATTATAATACACTTCATGGTTACGAGGAGGGGGGGGGGAGTCAAAAGTCTGTGCACTAGTGCTCTATTTTTTATCAGTAACAGTATATATCCTGATGGTTCATAAATATCTTTTGTTGTGGTGCGCTTAAGGCTTAGACAAAAAAATGGTACACTTTAGCACTCTAAAAAGTTACAATGCAACTTTATACAATATTTTGATAAATCATTTCTTTGACTCCGAAAACACCAAAAATTTAAATGCACAACAAAGGTGCCTGATCAGTGAAAACTAGTGATCTCTGTAAATAATTCTGCTTACCACTTGAAATCAGTAAATAAAAATTTAATAAATCTGATATGATAATGAAGTGAGCATGTGTTAAAGTTAGACAGTAATACATCAACAAAATACAAACTTATCTAAGACATCAATGCAATATATTAAACTTACTACATAGCATGTACAAAATAAGAGCATATTAACATTTGCAAACAACAAATAGCACTAATACTTCTTAACTGTAATAAACAATTTATAATATATGGCATTTTAATGCTTCATTGACATAAAAATGTCACAGTCTGCAATAACATACTGATGTCATAAATAATAAAATTAGTGTTTAAACACTGCATTATTAAGTCAATCTTTTCTGCTAGTGAATAATAATTTGATAAATCACTGGATTTAAAAGTTCCTAAAAAGAAGCATAGTCTTAGCTGTTTTGAAAAATATTGACACTTGACATTTGCTATTTCAAATAGAGCCAAAATATACAGCTTCATGTTCAGACATCAAGAGGATTTAAATGTCTGATTAAGGAAGGGGAGGGATTGCACCATCTATGCAGCAAAAATAAAGGCACTGATCAGCTGATGGTTACCACACAGCTATTCTGCACCTTTGTTTTTGCAAGTGCAAAAAAGCAGGTTTTTTCATGGTAAAAGGTAAGCTGTTAAGAAGTCAATAATATGTCCATGACACAGAAGGTTGAATTTAATTTAAAATGTTGGTTCTATTTGTTCATTAGTTTTTCCAATTTTTCCACAAAGTGTAAATACCCAGCCGACTTGTGACTAAGAAAGGCTTGTTTAAATACTGTTTGTTGCATGAATCCAAGGAGTTGTGAAAAGCAGTGGGATTTTCTAGATCCATTATATAATACCAGCTTATTAATAAGAATAGCCCTTCCATGAGGCTATCTGTCTCAAGTGGTATCTTGCACTGGTCTCCAACAATATACTGTTTGTCCAGTTCTATGTTGTTAAAAATAAAAACAAGGCTTCACTTGGAGGAGTATTAGGCTGTGATGACAGGACCTTTGACAGATTAGCTTCTTCAATATCCTGCAAAATGAACATGGAATAAAACAATGAATGAGTACAATCCTTCATAACAGGATCAGGGAAATCTTCTACCTTAAGCATTTCCAACCAGCACATAATAAAGTGTTAGTTAATGTCTACTTCTGGAGCAGTAGGTCAGAAATTCGATCTTCTGCCATGCCATGCTGAGCAGGGCCAACATTTCTATTTTATATAGTTACAAGACAGGCAAAACATGAGATATTTGAAATACAAATACAAGCAACAAACAATGTAACTATGTGCAATGTAAAACATGAATAATGTAGGAGGAATTGCCACTGAAGAAGTGTTCACTATAATATTATGTATAAGGAAAAAAACAAAGGGCCATAATTAGGTCAAAAACTATCCAGTCACAAAGCCCCGACAATATGTGCCAGGGTGCTTGATGACAAAGCTTCTGTGAAAGTTTGAACAAAATCCGTTGAGAAATGTAGGACGAGTTCAGCACAGAAGAATTTGTTCACTATAATTATATTGATAATTCTGTATAATGAAAAACAAGTTACAAAGTAGACATGAAATAATATATCATATCTTTTTTAAATTACCTCCAAAGATGATATGACCTTTGACTGCCAAATCAAGTTAAAATCATGTAAACAGGATTTTCAATGTTAATGTCACTGTGACCTTGACCTTGGAGCCAGCCATGCGGAACATGCGTTCTGCACGTCATCTTGATGTGGTAAACATTTGTCTGAAGTTTCATCAAAATTCTTCAAAGGGTTGAAGAGTTACAGAGCGGACAGGATTTTCAATGTTAATGTCACTGTGACCTTGACCTTGGAGCCAGCCATGCGGAACATGCGTTCTGCACGTCATCTTGATGTGGTAAACATTTGTCTGAAGTTTCATCAAAATTCTTCAAAGGGTTGAAGAGTTACAGAGTGGACACAATTTCGTTTGACGCCCGCCCGCCCATCCGCCCGCCATACCCCAATCTAATAACCAGGATTTTCAAAATTGAAAACCTGGTTAATAAAATGAATTTATCAAAGTCTTGTGCTGATACCTTTGATAGTTTTGAAATGAATTCATTTAATAAATTTCAAAATTTTGTCCCTTGTCTTACACATGTGTCTTGTCATGATTAGCAGCTGCGAGTATTCAAGGTAAAATCAAATTCAGTGACATTATACAAAACTTACAAAGAATTTTCAGGTAAATTTACTATACCTCATGTAGAACTACAATTGATTTAGTCTTGCACCCCTTTCCATGTTTGAATCCTGTATTATTTTCTATAGCTCTTATAACATCCAAAGCATCTTCGCACTGCAACAGAAATCAGTAATTCTAAGTAAACAGAAACTCATACAATCAGATCCTAAACAAAGCCTTCAATATGACAAAATGAACACATGATTAGCAGTCAACACACTGTGTTAACAATTTTAACCATATTTGCATTAAAGTGACAAAAGCACTGTAAAAACAAACATCAGCCACAAAACAAGATTATGCCATGTTGGATTTCCTGCAATATATCTCAGGATAAAGTCGCAAATTTTTGAAGTCCAGTCAGACGATGTATTTCAAAGCACATTAAAATTAAAAATTACATATTTTGTATTAAAAATCAGATATTTTATATCTAAAAAAAACAACAACAACAAATAATCATTGTCAGAACTATTTGATTAATGTACAGGTGAAGAAGCATAATCAACTTCTGACTGGGTCTCCTAGGTTCAACACAACCTTGTTATAACATGGTAGTTTGAATCCTTTATATAGACCATGTTAGTTAACCACATTATATCCAAACAAAAAAGTATTTATTATATATTTAAAAAAATATGGAATTTTTCTTTCTATTCTATACCTTTTGTGAATACAATTTTTACCCTCTTTTAAACATTATTATATCTTAAGCCGCATTAGAACAAGGCTGTGCTGTATGCATAGTAAGATTGCAATGAAATCTTTTTCCTTTTTCCACAAGGTTGCCTGCCCTAACAGTAATCTTAACTCATACCTCTTTTCCTCCAGGTTTAAGTGTAGCTACTGCTTCAAACAATATCTCTAGATTGTCAACAAATGGTTGGATGTGGCCTACTGTAAGAATTAATTTAATTTCCAACAACATCTGTAAAAAAAAGAAAAACAATTATTATAATTAGCTTATAGATAATCATATGATAATTAAAAAAGGAAATGTAGCAAAACAGCATAGCTCACCTGCCTTTAAATTTCACTTTCCAAATATTTTTATAACCATTAATGTTTAATATGCAATTTATGACACAATTAACAGCCATTTGTGTATGCTCATATATGATGTAATTTATAAATTATTTCTTTTTTTTTTTCTTAGTTAATTTTTTTAGTGTATTTTCCTCCACATTCAGGAAAAAGTTCTGTTCAGCAACAAATATGTAACATGGTTGCTGGGGTCAATACCAACCTCATGTTAGTTTAAACGTCGCATTTATGATTATACATCCAAACAATACTGTAAATATTACAATAATAACCATTCATGGTTATTTTTATACATACTCATAGTCTACACATTTTAGGAATTAATCTTTGAACTTTATTATATCCAAATGACTTGCTAGAAAGAACCTCATTATAAAGACTTATAATGTGACATGTAAATATGCATATTGATAAAATGATTTTGTAATTTTAGTACAACATATTAATCTTTGAAATTATTTAAGCCATGGCATGATAAACCTGCAGTAAGGATGTACATCCATTAATGACTCAGACCTGACTAGATGCCTGCATGGTTGGGTCCTGGCTATCCACTCAATGAAGTATAGGACCTTCGGGTAACCATTGAACGCACAGTAAACATCTGATTGGATAAAGGGGTGGATGGGATGATCCAGGTTTTTGCTGATTTATTTATCAGATTTTAATAGTCAACTGATAAGATAGAAAATTCAAATCTACAATTTTTTCATGCAACTTACAAGATGGTGTTACAATTTCTGTCGCTGTGGTAACAGTTGTGGACTCTGTCTCAGTCTTTGACATGTTGGCATCTTGGGTGTCTGCCCAAACATTACAACAGTGTCTTTTGGAATATCAGGTTCTCAAATTTGTTGGTCTTCTAGAAGCATCAATACTTAGTTTTGAATATGTCAAGGATGGCGTTTTCTTCCCTAGAAGCATCAATACTTAGTTTTGAATATGTCAAGGATGGCGTTTTCTTCCATTTCTGTCACATCTTTTTCCAGCACAACAATCAAACTTCCTCCTTGCAACTATTGCTTGTCACCAGCTAAAATATTGAATAAAACTTGAGTTAGTGTTTCTGAGAAATAGTCATCAATACCAACTAGATCGAAGTATCAAACTGTTTGAATTATTTATCAAACTACAGATCTTTTCAGTTAAACATTACACAGTCATTCTAACATAACAATTATGTATTGTAGCTATCAAATATTATATAGATGAGATCCATAGTTATATTCATGAATATGATTACTGCCATCACAAATGGATCTCAAGTAGGGTTTGTTTTACTGTTAACATGATTATTATATTTTGTGAAAAGTTTGTGTTCTGAGTCTACTTGTTTGAATTTTCTTTACACTGTGAAATCAGATATTTTTGCAAGGCTAAAATTTTGTGAATAATATGATTAACATTTAGGGTTCACCATGTTAAATGTTTGTGAAAATCAAAGTGGAGGACAATAGTTATTGCAATTAGGTAATACTTACATGATGATAATTTATTGAATTTGCAAATGTAGTAAAAATTAAACACAGAAAGGTAGAATCACATTTCTTTTTTTAAAAAATCAATTCAAATGTAAATAAAGCTTTGATACTGTGAAATGTCTATTTTTTCTATTCACATATCGGTTTTACTTGGCATCTGGATCACCAGACTTTCACAAAGTGTTTTACGCCATCAACTGTGGCTGTACAGTAGTCACACCTGTACAGATTTTCTTATGACAAGGCTTTATATTCTAAATAATTCTGAGATTCCTCTTTTGAGCACACAACCTAACACTGTGTTGTAATTGTGCTGTAGTGTGTAAAAATACTTACCTTTCTTCAGAAGGTCTTCAAGACTGCTTGCAAGTACAGATATTCTCTTCTGCCTTGTAGTGTAGTACCTCCAAAATTTTGTACTCATTAGCCATACTAGTTGTTAAATATGTAATTATGAGAAGAAACTTGTAGCGTAACATGTAGATCTGACAGTACCCAAAATTACATTTTTATTAATTTATCGATAATGACTGTTCTTCCATTACAGATATGCAAGACAGGGGCAAAACAAACTTGAGATCTTGATATTTTTTAGCAACTGTCTTTGTATCTGAACATTTTACAAAGTAAGAGTCAATATGTTCATCACATTCTATAACCACAACTTGCACAAGAAGAGTAAAATCCAAAAAATTCTGGAAGAAATCTAGTCAATGACTAAAATCTTAACAACAACCCAGTGTTTTTCCTTATATAACTGATACCGGAAAACGGCACCGTTCCCAATAGAAAATAGACAGCAAATTTTCCAATTCATGACTGATAAATTCCAAATTTAACACTGAAAAATTCCTCTAAAAACAGAAATGCATGCCTCGGAGCCTTCCGTATTGATAAGTGATATACGATAAAAACCAAGTAAAACCACATGAGTGATATTCGTACCCAGTTCATTTCGTACTTAATGTTTCACACCTACTAAACATTATTTATGTACAATTGTTATGATTATCAATTTTTTTTTCAACCTCAAGCAGCAAAAATAATCTTTAAAGTTAATAATACATGATTTTAAAGTGTATAATTCTGCAAAATTTTCATCACCTCCCTGGATAAAAGAAATTCCCAATAAATATTTTGCATCTAAAATAAAATTCCCAATTAAAGTCAAACCGATGGATTTTTTCCCAATCTGTCCGGTACCGTTAACTGTACCAGCACCATTCCCAAAGTAGGGGAAAAACACTTTGACTTTCTGATATTAATTGAATGTTTTATATTTAAATATTATATATAATATAAGCGTTTCTTTACTTGACAACATGTTCTCGCTTATCCAATCAAAACACGTTGAATGTAACATGATATGGTTTCTGTTTTCTAGCTATGTTGTTTAAAAGTTTTATTCAGTATGTTTTTGTTTGCTGTCCTAAATAAAGTTTAAGTGTAGTTAAAAAGGAACATTTATTATAAATGTGTGATAATAATATAGAACTATATATGAGCCGTGTCACGACAAAACCAACATAATGGGTTTGCGACCAGCATGGATCCAGACCAGCCTGCGCATCCGCGCAGTCTGATCAGGATCCATGCTGTTCGCTTACCAACTCTATTACAAGTAAATCAAAGGAAGGAGAGAATACACATCAAACATCAGGATGGTTTATAACTGGTTTATTCTAGGATCTACCGGTTTCGGTCTTTCAAGACCTTCATCAGGATACATTTCAAAGAAAAATGATTACTGAAGTACTAAAAATGTGTAAACTGAATAATGACGTATGTTACTATAAATAGACATATAAATGAGTTTGTCTGGGCTAAGTACTCTATTACAAGTAGAGAAACTGATAGCGAACAGAATGGATCGTGATCAGACTGCACGGATGCGCAGGCTGGTCTGGATCCATGCTGGTCGCAAACCCACTATGTTGGTTTTGTCATGACGCGGCTCATATGTTTATTTGTCTTTTCATTCTAAAGTTTATAAAATATTGAAAATAAAGAAATTTAGGGGGGCGGGGGTTTATAGGAAATTTCAATCAAAAGGTTTATACAGTTACTGTTAAATGACAATTATTTACACCTGCCCGGCCCATCGTGCTTTCATTACAGGGATATAAAATAACAGGGACCCAGTCGCAATGGTCCTAACTTTTGGGTAGGGCCCCAGCTTTCTAGAAGAAATGCCTAAATAACTAATGTAAAATAGTCTGGGCCCCTAGATAAAAATTGTTTATTTATATAGGCTACCTGCATTATCAGAAAGGTATAAACATAGTCAATCCCATAGCTGATCATTGGACATCATGCGCCATTTCCTACATCACTAAATGTAAATAAGATTTTACTTCAATTTGTTGTTAGAAAGTGTGTGTGGACAGAAATACTCCTGCCCTGGTGGACCAGTTGAAAGACAAATTTAAATTATTTTAATCCTTAACAAGGAAACAAACGATACAACTTAATTAAAACTACCCAAAAGTGATTTGAATACAAATCCGTGAAAAAGAACACCAACAGTTTTAGTAATTTTTACACAAACAGATATAACTGACCAATCTAATCACGTAACGTAAACAGCATTCCCCACCCACCTGTTTCAATTCGTCTATCGAAGCGAAAATGGACTATATAGTACATAAAACCTAACCATTCACCTGTAAAAACGTTAAAAATATTAACAGATCTATTTAAGCAACTGTTGTACATATCTGTTATGGAAGAAACAACAAAAATGAGGCAAACAATTTCTGGCGGTTTTTGTCGTCTGATCTACAATGTGCTACATCGCCAGGCGCTTTACGGAGATATCAATCGAAGCGTACTCTTTACACGCAAGCATCTGGCTGCTATGATTCGAATTTATTTATTATTAAATATTTTATGTAATTGAATTCATCATAATTTGTTTCTGGATCTAGATATTTTAATATGGGGATTGTACAAAAATAATTCTAATTATAAAAAAAAAATAATCAATGCTAAGGGGAAGTAACCGCTGTCAGATTAAACCTTAGTGTTTTCGGCCGAAACACGTGTTTTCAGATTTCCGGATGACAAGTATATACGAATTTTCCGACACAAATGATGTTTTTGTCTCATTATTTTTTTACATGTGGCCTATTCACAACACTTGCGTGACTTCAACTCATTAAATAATGTAAAATTATTTAATTATATATTCTAGGTTGTCCTGTGAAAACACCACCGTTTTCTGGGCATCGAGCGGAAAACATGAATAAAACATATGTGTTTTCACTGAAACGTATACAAAACATAAGCATTTTATATGAAAACGTCAGTGTTTTTGTGTGAAACACTGGTAAAACACGTGTAGTGTTCTCAAAATTTACAGTGTATTTAATGTAAAAAATTACGGTTACAGCGAACACGGTTATAAGGAATTATCGCTTATAAGGAACTAATTTTTTAGTCCCAATGCCATAAAATGTACAGAAAATTACACTTTTATAACGAACTCCAAAATATCGGCTATCCGTAATCAGATCACGCATTTTCTACTTTCGTTTTCATAGGCACAGATTAAAACTTGGCCGAATGTAGCGGATATATTAGGAACAAATAATGACGATGACAGTCAATCTTCCGAAGACGAAATCTATTTAGATGATCTGCCGGTGTGTCAAAAAAATGAAACTATTGATTGTTTGCACAAGATTAGGTCATACTTCGAGTCTGATGCACATGTTGAAGAAACAGTTTTTAAAAGTTTATTGGATATTGAATTTAACCTGAAGAGTTGTAAACATTCCCAAACTAAAATTACGGACTTCTTCAAAGCAAAGTGATTATTTTTGTACATGTTACTGTATCGTTAATAAATAACAATACTGCATATATGGTACATATGAGCCGCGCCAAGCATAAACAGCCGTTATAGTAATTTTTGGATATTTTCGGCTTTTTCCATCATGCGTTAGTGCATTTTTTAAATTTTCTTGTAATGTATAACTTTCTATACTTTATTCGACTCACATTTGCACGAAAAAGCTTAAACGTAACGGCTTTGAAAAAGCCGACGTCAAGTAACTCCACTAACGTCAACGTTGATAACATCATTTCAAAACGTCGAAAATGTATTTATTTACTTACGTAAACCCAGCAAACATTTTATATCGGTCCAATATCAGCCCGATATCAGTTGTTATGTCGGCCCGATATCGATTTCTTATATCGGACAGATGTCGGATGTGCAACCCGGCTACAAGTCGGGCCGATATCGGCTGTATATCATTAGATCGATTTGAAGCCGGTGTCATACCGACATAAATTAACCTTTAATTTTTCTTCTAATAAAACATTTTACTTTGATTTTTTCATTCCAATTAACAAAAAAACACAATTGAGCTTAAATATAAGCTTTTTATTTTCATTTGGCAAATATACATGTATATCATAGAAATAAATTTTTTTTTTTTAACAAATGTATGTTAATCGTGTACAGCAGTTAACATCACAGTCAAAAGAGAATTTAACAAAGATTGGAAACAAGAGCTGTCACAGAGACAGCCAAGCTCGACTAATAAAATACTGGACGCAGTAAGGACAAAACTATGAAAGAAAAATCAATTATGTATAATTATGTATTAAGTTATAGTAAAAAAATAACATTTGTTAAAATAAATTCCAAGATCAAGGGAAATAATTCTAGAAATAGTCACGCTAGAGTTATGAACCTTGTCACACAACATGTATGTAATGATAAGAAGTATATATTTGAAGTTTGAAGTAGATACCTTAAAAAGTAACAAAGTTATAATATTTCTTAAAGAAAATCCTAAGTTCAAAGAGAGATAAATCTGTAAAAATTACTTCAAGAGTTATGAACATTGTCACATAAAATATAATTGATTATAAAGAATAAATATTTAAAGTTTGAGGTAGATACCTTTAAAACTAAAAAAGTTATAGTAAAAAATAACATTTTTCTAGTAAAAAAATCTAAGTTAAAGGGGAGATAATTCTTGCAACATTGGTGCTAGAGTTATGAACCTTGTCACATAAGATGTGGATGATGATAAGGTACATTTATTTGAAGTATGAAGTTGATCCCTTTAGAAATAAATAAGTTACAGTAAAAAATAATATTTTTTAAAGAAAATTCTAAGTTCAAGGGGAGATTAATCTGAAAATATTGGTGCTAAAGTTATGAACCTTGTCACATAAGATGGGGATGATGATAAGGTACATATATTTGAAGTATGAGGTTGATCCCTTTAGAAATAAAGAAGTAACAGTAAAAAATTGTATTTTTTAAGGAAAATTCTAAGTTCAAGGGGAGATAAATCTGAAAATATTGGTGCTAGAGTTATGAACCTTGTCACATAAGATGTGGTTGATGATAAATAACATATATTTTAAGTTTAAAGTTGATGCCTTTAGAAATGGCAAAGTTATAGTGAAAAATATTTTACTGCACCAAAACTTTAATCTGAAATCTGGACGCGGACGCCGGGGCGAGTAGGACAGCTCTCCATATACTTCGTATAGTCGAGCTAAAAATATATTTGTATTTTTAAAGGACAATGGTACTGTAAACAAGTATTTGTTGCTTTATCAAAATTAAATTGTTTATCGCAGACTGCAAATAAAACCCAATAACATAACAGCAAACAATCCATTTTTCATCGTTTTGTTATAAATATTTGAGAAGTATGTGAGAAAAAGTGCACAACAAAAAAAAAAAACAATATTAGTCTTCAATCTATGTTATTTAATGTTGTAATAGTTTTTTTAGTGTTTAAGGAAGTCTAATTGTATCATTAATCTATTAAATAGACATTTAAGTCCATTTCATAAATGAATTCAAAAATTTCCTTTAAAAATCACAGACAATATACTGGTAATAGAATAACACTCATATTAATTTTGTTAATATATAATTATTGAAAGTAAATTGTCATGGTTACTGAATCTTTATAATGAAAACATAAAATTTAAGAAATCAAAAATTTAAAGAATACAATAGATTCACTCTTGAGAAAGTTCCCCACTGATGACATTATATCATTTTATCATACTATAACTAATATTCAGATTCCCACATTAAATAATATTTTTTTGACTTTTACATTAGATTGCATTAATTGGTAAACAACTCCTTATGGCCATCTTCAATTGTTATTTCTGTTGATAAATAATATATATATTGTACAAACATCACTGTTAATTCTTTTCTCATGCTTCCATTTCTAAACAAATATACATCTTCACTTTAAATAAAAACATACCTGACTAAAAAAAGATATAAAAGACTAGTAATAATTCAATTTAGTTCTGCTTCCTTGGTAAAACATTATAAACAAACAAATTAAAAATGCCAATAATAAAACTTAATATGTTCAAAAGCTACGATTTAAATTCCATTTAAAAACTGAGAATGAATCTACAACATTGCATTTGTATGGGTGTTTTTTTTCTCTATACTTCAGCTATTATGCAATAATAGAAAAAAATAAATAAAAAATATCAGCAATTATGCAGAATTATTAAAGAAAATAAATGTAAGAATAAAACAATGTAAAAAACAATGCAAAAAATAAAGACTAGACTTGACTATACATTTGGCAAGGCATGGTAATAAAATGGATTTATAATATTTTTACAAAGCCTAAAACAAAAAAACAACCTATAATAACCAATCAAAAACAATAATTGAATTATAGATTCACAAACCGCAGGATTTAAGAGACAGTGTGGCGTAATATAATTGAATTTATCACATAAACCGCGGCACAGGAGTATAAATAAGCTATTTTATAAATAAAAAACGATATTAAACTAGTGTTATAACATTTTGACGTGACGTCATTTGCTCTATATATAAACATAGCGTAAAAGCGCGCTAATGTAAGCGTACACTATAGGCGCGTCAATGAAAAATGACAAATGATATTTTCAACAGTTAATAGTTTTTATATTATATATGCAATAAATAAAATATCATTATTTATTAAATAAAAAATATATTATTTTCGTGTAGATTCAATACTAAATTTATTGAAGTCGTTGAATAAAACAATATTTTGCTATAAGGTTCACTTAATATGATTTTATTCAACTCGTTCAATAAATTTATTAAAAAAATTACGTACACTCATCCAAAATTATCTATTTCTGTAATTATTAAATAAAACATTATCTAAAAATAACATTAAAATGTTACTTTAATGATAATAGGTCACAAATATCAGTTACTACGAAAACGCTGTGATCGTAGAAGCACAACAGTAAATACTCAAAACCACCACTGTACACAGAATAGTAAGTTTATCATGAGATACACCAGCTTAAATATATCCTTGACACTTGATACTTTAGGAACTAGTGTATAGAAATTTGTATAACTAATCACTGCCCATCGCTTGACGGGGGAACTGGGCAAAGAACATCTTGGAACGGGCGTCTCACAAGTGGTCTGACGTGACGGTACAAGTACGTCTGACGTTCCCGGCTTAATCCTGCAGGATGTATGACAGATGGAAGGTCATTTCTATCCATTTGTAGATAGTTCGTCTTACAAATTACAAATCGTATTTCATTAGTATCATCTGCAGCTACCTTCATGTAAACTATACCGGGTTCGAGTGACGTGAAACGGAAGTGGTGATATTTTGAGATGTTCGGCACTTTTTTGAATCTGTCTGCGAGGAACACCTTCCAGCCTTTCCACATCCATTCACCATAAGTAACGGGAACATTACTGTGTGCTGACTTCAGTACTACTTCCGTCACGTGTTGGAGAGTATCACAATTTGAACGCCGATACAACTTCTTTATCGTTCCAAATCCCGCGTCGATCAAGCACCTGAATATATAAAGTTAAATGCAAAACAAATATGATTGGTGAGGTAAAGCTCAAATTCCTGAGAATTTTACCATTGACTTATTAATATTAATGAGGATAAAGATTTGATCAGCAGTGTATTTGTCATTCATTCGCATGTTTTACTGACACCATCAATTAGCTTATGACGTAGAAATATTTTACGGTAATTAAACCTTTTCCGGTCAATTCTATATTATATACATGATTTTACAGTCTGAACTCGTGCTTTACATTTCCTTCTTTTTCATATTATTAGAGATTAAGAAAACATGTTTTAAAATCAAGTTCTCGTCTCATTTAGGCTTAATATAGTATATGTTTTTCGGCGAAAATAATATCTTTTCTAAATAATTAACGAAATTGCTTGTTAACCGTTTATAGAACAATTAAAAAATCAAAGCTACCTTGTATGTCCTGGTAACTGCATCATGTATTTGATATTTCTATGTGATCCAATCATCGTACGCCATGACAAGTAGGCTAGTACGTATCTATTCTTATTCTGACCTGTGGAAAAGATTTAAATTCATGTATTTAATTACATACAATAATGTTAAAGAATTGAGAAAATCAAATAAAGCTAAATTAAAAAAAGCAAAGCTCTAAAGTTACATTATGTTATTGTAATATCCTGTAGTAACTCTATTATTTTTCAATCATTACTACTTCTTATTAAATCTCAATACATGTACATTTTAGAAAAAAAAAGAATACTAAACAGTAAACAAGTTTAGTTTTAAGGAACTATTTTACACCGGCATTTTTATGGCACAGTTCAAACTGAGGCAGTTACAACTAATAAGAATACTTGAGATGTGAAAAATAACTACCAAAACAATTATCTGCGTGAATCCCACAATCACTTTCTCCAGTACCGAACGAGTTGAAGGCATGGTCTAGCATTGAGATGACCGAGTCTGGTCCATGTACAAGTGTGCCATCTTGTCCTAAAACAAAAACAAAAATTACATAAACTTGATATTTGAACTAATTTGCTGTAATTTAGAAGACACGATGAGATTCAATCCTGTTTTACTTGAAATGTTACTGAAAAAAAAATACTGCATGCATTGCAGTTACAAAAAAAAAACTTTAAAGTATGCTTATCATGCACATACTGGATAATAATTTATTTAGTAATTTTTTATTTAATTTTCTATTATAATTTTGTAAAAACTGTTTTAACTACCAATGGGTTGGTCCTCATCTATGAGATAATTGTACTGTTTGTAGCCATCGGCTCGGAAACCAAATATCTGAAAGATACAGCATGTACACATTTACTGCATAGAAAAATTATTCAAAGTATAGATTTTGAAAACGGAAAGAAAATTTATATTAACTATGGTACTAACAGGTAATTTTCACGTTTATAGTAATTGTAAAAGAAACAAAAAAGTTTACATGCATACATGAAAAATAAATAATTAGCATAGTTAGATTGAAACTCCTACCTGCACTTTTCTCGGCTGAATGAAAAATGTGGGTCCCTTTTCTTGTGCATGGTGTGGTAACTTAACATACTGACTGAAGTCAAATGTATAATGTACGTCATTTGTAGAAAAGTTATCACCGGCAGCCTGGTTGTGTTGTTCCCGGTTTACAAACATTGCTTTTGATTTTTCTACAAGTTCCACGTAAAGATCACGTTCCTTTCTAGCTTGCAGCACATGTTGATGGTATTTCAATGTTGCATCTATCTTGTCGTTTTCACTCTGGGCAAGCTTAATATCCTGTTTACAGTCCTCACAGGCTTTACACACATCCTCTTTCGGCGACGCTATTTTTATATGAGGGACACAATTATTCCATATATCTTTAAATGTTGATAAACCAACATACCGCTTTCCAACTTCCGTACAGCGTGTAACGTAATCACTGTGCACTGAATGTTTTGTATCAGATGACGGTAAATATATAGGGGCCTCATCATCCCTCCCCCTTAGTGCTGCAGGCTGAGGCAATCCCTCCTCGTTTGCGTAACTCAGTATATACTTAACTGCATCTTTAATAACGTCTGGAGGAAATGCATTTGGAGCACGTCTTCCTGTATGACCGTGAACACGTGGTTGAGCACCGTGTTCTTCCATATGGTGTTTGATATTTCTCAGTTGCCTGTCTTTTACATCAAAGACCACCAGAAAGGTTTCATGGCAAACTTTTACTCCATCAAAATAATATTCATAACGGGAGCGTTTGCGATCTTCTTTACATCTTATGTCAGAATTTATCTTTTTAAGGGTTCCCATTATTAGCATTTCCTTCTCATTTTTTGTCATTTCCCTTAGATTAAGAATATTTGCTTCAATCTGAGGAAAGGATAAGTTACTGAAGCAGTTTTTAGTACATTTACAGCCACTGTCATAAATGTGTTTCAGATTGTCAATGTCACTCTGCGGATCATCACTATTTTGGTAAGTGTCAGCATTACCTTGATTGTCTGCATTAACAGGATCCAAAACAAGACTAGCTGTAAAATATCTGTCGAGTCGTGACTCAATGGATATATCTGGTGCCTCTATAACTTCATTTTCACTTTCATTTCGGATGGCTACAGAATTACACGTGTTTGACTGATGTGACAAACCGAAACTTGACACAGGTACGTATATTAATATTAATATACGTACCTGCTTGACAGAAGATCATCCAGCTCCTGTAAAAAAAATATAAAAATAGATGTAGATATTTAATCTCATTAAATAATATTTATAAGAAGTTATCTTTAATTTAAAAAAAAAAGTAATTAAAAAAAAGAGTGGCGTTAGTGAGAATCGAACCCACGACTAACGGGTCGACAGTCCACAACACTAACCACTCGGCTATGCAGTCAACATGCATTCCAGACGTTAAAAAAATATCAGTATTTTGATACGCAAAAAAATTACCGAGTAAAGTTCTTGCCGGCTTAATTTTAAATTTTAAAGTTTTATTCATTAAGGGACGGGGTGTGAGGTGATGGGAGCTATAAAATTATAACAGTTTTAATCTAATAAACACAATAAAATATGTTGTTACGGATCTATCTTTTTCTTTTAAGTTTAAAGCCATCTTAAAAATAATTTTTTCAACGGGATGTCGGGAATGGCTCATACTTGTCGGTATGTTTGCAGATTATCTGTACGCCTACGGGATTATAACCTGTAGCCGTTGGCAATTTAGTTTAAATTAATTTAAATAACTTAAAGCGCCACTTTTAACGATCATGTGCTTGATGACACATGTTGAAAATTCATGAAAAATGAATGTTACTTTCTTTCATTATCCGAACGAAAACAAGTTGTATTATGGAGATTTTTATTCCTAAACACTTTATAAATGTGTCCTATATGTAAAAACAAGATTAAACTAAAACATTACCTCGAAAGTGTCCATATTTGTTGTGTTTACAATCTGTCATGTAAAAATACGGGCGCCGCCATCTTTCTACGTCATCACTAATTTTGACGTCATATTTCGCAGAATAATTAATTATACGATAACGGCTGTTTATGCTTGGCGCGGCTCATATCATATAATTATCTTATAGATATATTTATACATAAAAATTATATTAAAAGAAACAACATTGAATTTATTCCTTTTTTTCTTTATTGAATCAATATAAGGGAGACAACAATGACGAACCCAAGAGTTATTTCTCTTAATCAAATGCTCTTCTAAATGGAGGACGACGGTAAACAATTAGTTCGTTATATGTAAAACTGTTCGCTTTAAAAACTTCTGATACAAGGAACTAATTCGCTATATGCTTACAAGGAACTCCGGATATAAGGAACAGATTTTGAATGTCCCAATGAGTTCGTTATAAGCGGAGTTTACTGTATATGTCGTGAACTTACAGTATGCTTATTTATTTTTGAGTATTGGATTTCAGATCATATTCGGAGAATGTAAAAGAAAATCTAAAGAAGAAATACATGATATTGTAACGAAAATATTAGCATGTACTGGACATTCGGAGGTAACATTTCATAAGCTATTAAGAGAAACATGCTCTAAAGTGTAAGTTTTTCGGAAGAGGTTGTAAATATTATGTTTCTGATAAAAAATTTCCACAGCCAGAATTGCAATACAACGCAAAACTATGTTCATATGCTCAGTTCGTCTAACAAATACATGTAATAATTTTAGAAAACATATGCAATCACTAGTGATTTCATTTTCCAACTTCAATTTCATCTCTAGTATTCATTTCTGTTATAAATGTATTATTGTAACATTGATAATTAATGGTCCTTTGTTTTTGTTTTATTGCAAAAAAAACAAACTTTTATACAAGTGTATATATACGATTAAACACTTGTAATAATAATAATAATAATAAAATAATAATAATGATAATAATGATAATAATAATGGCTTTTTGACACATGACGAAAAAACTAAAAGCTTGAAATAAGCTGTGGCAAACATTTCTTTTTACATTACCATGAACCTTTTTTCGAATTAATTCAATAAAGAATTTCATAAGAATTAATAGTAAAAATACGCAGGGAAAATATAAAATTGTTTTTGAAGTTCATATTCATTTCAGTTGAACAACGAGTTAACTGCAGCAATGAAGCTCTTGAGAACAGAACGTAAAAGAAATTTCAAAGCCACAATGCCTTATCTTTTGACGGTAGCGTAAACCATCATTCATTTAAAAGTTTTTTAAATTCTTTTTGAAACACAAATTTGAAATGCCCGGTCATATTTACGTTTCACATCGTTTGAATGAATATACAGCGAGGTTTTAAATTACAATATCTATCAAATTTTATATGGCGTCGACACACTGTCTTTAAACCCCATAGCCGTTAATTCCATCTATATCCCGGTCAACAGTATGTTTCTTTAAACGTTTTCGGAATTGGTTTGTCAAGGAAGTGGACTCATTTAATGATAATTAAATGCTTCAAAAACATGACTCACAAATTCTCTGAAACAAAGACGAATTTTTATTTAATATGTCATGAAACTGATCAAATGTTTACGATATTTATTTTCAGATTTTGGAAATATTTGTACCTAAAGAGGAGGAAACAGTCATATTGCGAAATTATGTTCGAACCACAACAGAAACGTGCTGGCTAATGTGTTTACACGAACCACCTTTAACATTTAAATATTGTGAAGACAATAATATATTCAATGAGGTTTATTTTAACCCATACACAAGAAGCGGTGACACCGTAGAGTTCCTTGTTTGGCCCGCTATACTTCTCCACGATGGTGGACCGCTTTTGCTCAAAGGTGTAGCGCAAGCAAAGGATCCAAAACAAAAAGAACAGAAAGTACAGACAAAACAAACAAATGATAATGCTAATACTGACTCAATTGTTAATGAGAGATCATTCAATTCTTATTTCTCCAACGAAACTGAATTGTCTAGAAGAGCAGAAGCTGCTGTAACAAGAATTAACGAAGATTTCGTGTCAAATACAGATACAATCGAACCAGAACTAAAGGCAAGACGAACAAAGGAACATTCTTCTAAACCACACAATGAACCTTCACAAAGCTTTTTCCTGAACATAAATTGACTTACATTGAAACAACTTATGGATTAAAAAAATAAAAAATACTGTTACAATGATTACATACAGAACGAAAAATTTAAAACACAAATGTACATATTTTAACAACCGCCAGTATTTTATATTGGATGTGATATGTGATGGTTGATGAACTTGATATACAGAAAGGGAGTTAAGATGAACGCCTATTTATTTATTTAAATATACTCACATATTATATTCGCTTGTGTAATTTGAATGCTACTGATTCTTTTATACATACAGTTGCTTCCTTATGTTCACTTGCGTCATGCTACTGATTAATTTATAATTTTAATGACTACATTATGTTGCCTTGCTTAATTTAAATGGTACTGATTTTTAAGCAAGTGCTAGTGGGGGCATAGACAGTAGTTTGCACTTTCCAGTACTGTCAATGATCAGGCTCAATCAAATCGAGCCTGCAACAATTTTCATTAATTTTGCCATGTTGGGCTTTCTTTTGGGATTCTGTTTTTCTGTATTTTAATACAAAATGACTACCTTATGATCGCTGGTACTGAATCTTTAATACATACATTTGTTTAAAATTAGACGTGACTGAACAACTTTTTACTGCTCTACACAGTGTGAAAGTATTGTGCTGCTTGTCAAACATTATAAAGGTGTCTCATATACATGTATATACAAATGCAGAAAGCAAGTGTATTGTTTTGTTTGATATTAATAGATTAAACTTTTGAATTTAGTTGTTTTGCTTGCTTCCGTTAATGACCATGACAAAATACATGTATGTTCATGTGTAAAACTTGAATGTAACATTTTGTCAATCTTCTTGATAATATCTTCTTTTTTACCCTATATATTGTTATGCACCTGGCCGTCCATCCGTCCATTAGCAATTTCGTGTCCGCTCTGTCACTTTTGATCCGATGGTAGGAAATTGAAAGTACTTGGAATAATGATGGTCGTTATATATAAATTTAAAAAATTCAAGTTTATATACAACTGTATTTTGCATGTAGAATTACCCAGTAAACCTCTACAAAAGAAATATGCATCAAGTGTAAAACTACCTTGTCAAAGCTTAGATTTTTTGCGTGTAGCATTGCCTTGTGGTCCTCTATAAACCCGATATTTATCATGACATTGTTCCTTGGGTCAATATTGGACCAACCGAGGGGGTTCATTTATTTGATAAAGACTTATACTGGAAACACATTTAAGTTTGATTGTGTGAAACTACATTGCTTAGACATTAGACATGAATCATTGCCTCGTGTACCTCTACAAAACTGGTATTAATAATGCCCCTTGGGACAATATTGGTTCCGCCCCGGGGAGGTTGATTTATATAGACTGTAAGAAAGACGTTTATGTCATATTGTGTGTAACTACATGTAACACCCATTGCCCTGTGGACCTCTACAAAACTGATATTAAATATTAATCAGATATTAACAGAGTCCTGGAGGACACTTAGTTGATGACATGTATAGGAAAACACATTTATGTCTGATTGTGTGAAAGTGCAATATCCATAACTCAGATATTTAGCATGAAGCATTGTATTGTTGACCTCAATGAAATGTCCCTTGAATCAATATTTGCGCCACCCGGAGATCACTCATCTTAATTCTATTTCATGTTTGTCAAATGTTATAGATAAAGCTATAGAAACAGTTGATGAGGATGAAGGTGTTAAACGAAGAAGCTCCAAAATTTATGAAAGAATTCATAGATGATATTTATGTGCAACTGTCTGACCTGTATGTTAGTAAAAATTATAGTGAAGTTATTGTTAATGACTTAATTGAAAAATGTTCAAGAATCATTTCGGATGGTGCTAATAAATGTGGTTTTCTAAAGAAAAAAACTGTCTAGTAAAAAAGGTAGGGCAAGTAATGTGTCTGTTAATCCTAGCAATCGCTGGTTTGATGAGTCTTGTAGAATGTATCGCAAACAGTATTTCCATGCATAGGGTAAATATAGATGGTTTCGTTCTACTGCAAACTATCGAAACTTTGATAACGAGCAGTAAATGTTACAAAATGGAAGTCAATGTTAAGTTTAAGTCATTTCATGCTGATGTTTACAAAAGTTTAAAGGAATACAAAACTTGGATCCTAAATCATACTGGGCTCTTTTAAACAAATATACAAGCGAAAGGAATAAAATTCTAGTAAAGTTTTTATGAGAATTTTAGTAAGCTTAATCAGAATGTAAATGATGTTTGCACACAGTATGATGATGTCAATCTTAAAGATTTTCAGTTATTAAATGAGTTGAATGCACCATTGTTCGAATCAGAAGTTTCATCAGCTATAAAAGGTTAAGCGTCGTCAGTTTTTGACAACATTTTAAATGAGTATTTAAAAGTTCTGAAGTTGTTATACTTCCTCTGTTTTGCAAATTGTTTAACATTATTCTTGAATGTGGTAATTTCCCAGAGATATGGAGTAAAGGAGTGATTTTACTATTGTATAAAAATAAGGGTGATGTAAATGATCCTGTAAATTGCAGGGGCATAACTATATTAAGTTGTTTTGGTAAACCCTTTACTACTGTATTAAATAACCGTCTGAACAAGTATCTAGAGTTATAATTATGATATTTTTTATACATGTATATCAAGGGATAAAAATTTATATTGTTGTTTTATAGATTTCCGAAAAGCCTTTGATTTTGTTGATAGAATTGCCTTATGGCAAAAACTGCTCAAGAATAATATCAGTTGTAATTTTTTGAAAATTTTGCATAATTTGTATAATAAAGCAAGTCATGTGTAAAAGCTGGTAATAAGATTTCATTTATTGCAAGTAATGCTGGCGTAAAACAAGGAGAAAATCTTTCACCCGTGTTGTTTTCGTTATTTCTAAATGATCTTGCACAGTTTATGTCTGAAAAATATGCTGGTCTATATGCACTTGCTGATGATGTGAAAACCTTATTAAGTAATGAGGATTTAGAGGTGTTTTCGGGCTCTTTCTGCTCCTTTATGCTGATGATACTGTAATTTTTGCAGAAAACGCAGATGAGCTTCAGATTAATAAGCTAGAATATTGCATGTCTGGAATTTAAAAGTGAACTCTGCAAAAACAAAGGTTGTAATATTTTCAAGGAGCAGGAGTCGTATTGGAGATGAACCTCAATTTCTTTTGATAATGAGAACTTTATACTTCATAACAGCAGGTGTCAAGTGCCGTGTGACAGCTGTAAAGGTTGCTCTGTACTTCATTTCAGTGTTGTTATATTTTTCTGGTCCTGATGCCAGTACTAAATTAAGTTTGAAAATTGAGTACCGCTCAAGCCGGTGCTAGGGGCGTGAGGGATGTTGCACTTATCCATTATCCCTCATGAACAGACTCAATCAAACCGAGTCTTTAATTTTCAAGAAATTCTGTTGTGATCAATGCTTCAGCCTTGTTAAAATTTAGATGTATGAATCATAAAATGCCAATTGAGAAAGGTAGATTCCTATATACAGAGATAAATTTACGAATATGTACTTAATGTGAGTCAAACCAACTGGGTGACGAATTTCACTATCTCTTTAATTATTGTTCACATTTTGTTAATAGAAGACGTAAATTAATTATACCGTATTACTATAAGTATTTTAATGCATTGAAATATGAAGATCTTATGAATAGTAAAAACAAGTCACATTTAAAAACCCTTGCTTTAATTGTCTATAATTGTCACTCATTCTCCTGTCTTTATGTATATTTTTATGTATATTTTTCTGTGTTCCCGTTGTTACATGTTCAAATTTTTGTATTTTATGTCACATGTTCTTATGACCCATTACAGTATTAAATAAAATCTTGAAAATCTTGAAATCTTATTGGTGTATAAACATATAAGCATGTTCTTGTGATTTTTTTGGATCTTAAGAGTCTATATGATCCCCTTCTAGTGACAGCTAACTAAAAAGTTCGCAGAGAGAATGATTTTCTTTTGTTAAAAGACTGATACTTGACTGACGTATTACGTTCCAATTAAGTATTGTACGGTAAAATATGTATATATCAAAATTATAGCTTTTGTAGTGTAGTATACATTAGTGTAACAGTTGTTCAACTAAATATCCATTTCTGCACACTGACAAAATATTAAATCTGTAAATCATATTTTTAGAAATTTATTGCAATTTGTTACTGGGTAAATTAAGGATTTTGTTTTACATATTTTGAACTAAAATACTGGTATTTTGTTTTTTATCGCCATAATTGACATTGTTGCTGACAAATGTAGTCAAGGTAAACATAAGATTTGCTTAATTACAGTTTGGTTACGTGACAAATAAGGTTAAAAGTAAAGAATTTCTACAGATGATTGAATAGTGATTTGGTATGTGGGTCGATATAAACACATAGAATACAAGTCAAGGCATATAAATCTAACATATTTCATAAAATATATTCATAAACATGACAAGTAGTTTAAAAAACATATTTTATTATACACCAACACTAACATTTCACTTCTTTTAAGCCAGATAAACAAATTTTGCCAGTTTTACTATATTGTAAAGTAACAGATCATTTGGGTGTTGACATATAAGCTTAATGAATTTATTTATATTAGACAATGTGTAATAATAATTATTTAAAAGAGTTAAACGCAACTCTCTAATAAAAGGAGATATTAACAAAACAAAAAATGATACTCTGATTCAACTTGATTCGTGTTACATCTTTTACATATTCTTTCGCTTCTAATTATATTCCTATATTTCAATCTTTTAGTTGTGTGATGAAAATCTTAATCAAGAGATTAGAACCATTGGTGCTTATTCATTTACCACAAAACAAACAGAACATATTTTTTACAAAAATGTAGGTGATACCGTACTTTAATTCTACATGTGTTTTGCAAATCAAAAATATGTACTAAGTACAGTACAGTACAGGGAAACTTTTTTGTGAACATCAGAAAATAATACATGTATACTGAATAATTCACAGAATAAAAACTTAATTTCTAATCATGTGACTTTAAAGGCATATACATGTAATAAAATAATAATGATATTGTACAAGATGGCAAGAACTAAAAACATAACATAACTAAGCTAGCTTAGTTATATTCCCCTCTATCACAAAATATTGACTTAGTCAAAATATATTTATTTTATAAAAGCTTTCAATTACCATTTTTGAATCAATTTTAAGTTCGTTTTCTGAAATTAACTTGTAAAGATGAATTTTGAAGACATGTAGCCATGACCCCTATAAGGCTCGGACCCATGACCCCTGAATTGAGAGACAGACAACTTTACTACTCGTCCACCGCGTCCATTAAAATATTGACTTGGATAAATGGATAAATCCCCCCCCCCGCAGCAGCTCTTGGGGTAAAATTTAACTCTAATTTTATCAATTTATTATGCAAAAAGTAAAACTTGTACTTATTTTGTGTGTGTTTTTTGTTGCATTAAAGGTAGTATAAATTTATGACGAAAAGAAGTAAATTCGTTACATGTATAATGTGTCCAGTAATTTCAACAACCATTGTCCAAATGAGAAAAAAGTACGTCTTTAAAGGTCATTCAACTCAACTTACAACTTCTGCATTTTAGATAAAGATTAATTAGATTTGCAATTTAGTCATGATTTAACTTGAAAAGGAAATGATTGTGATTCTTTTTTTCTTTTCAATTCGTTTCAGGAAAATTCATTTATTTCTTGTATAATATGAAAGGAATACCTTCTTTAAAAATGTTTACAATACATACCTGGGAGT